AAGTTTTACTTTTTTTTCATTATACCAAGAACAGTTTTAGACACCAATCACTTTCTTGATGTCAGAAGAAGAGGCGACCATGAGTTCCTTTTCGCGTTTTCCCAAGGACCGGGCACCAAGTTTCAGACACCATATAATTTTTCATACGAAAGTCCATTGATTTCCTTTTTTACTTGACTTTTCTCATTAATCTGCCTCCAGAACTACGCCTTAATATAAAACGAACAGGTATTTTTTATGAAATAAGAAACGGGGGATAGGGCTTTGAACAGCGCTATAACAACGCCTGATTGCTCATTGCAAACCGGGGGAAGAAGTTCCTCCCCGGTCCTGCTGTGGGCTCTTACGCACAACTCGGATCAAGACATCGGTAGCAGAATCATTAAGTGGATGAGACTCCCACCCAAGATATGTGTTGTTTTCCTCTCGGCAATGGAGCAAAAATTCCCGGCGATGGAAGCAAGAGATAAACCATCCACATCCTCCAGGGGTCAATTACTTTTATTGGAATCAGCTAGGTCAGTGTTCCGATTCCAAAGCTGGTTATTCCTCGGGGATATATATTCTCGGAAGCGTACTCGAACAATATTTGGTTGAGAAGGACGTTTAAACATCAATTTAAATTAAAGTCGGAAATTCAGTTATACTTTGTACTACTTTGTAATCACAGTAATACCTGTAATGCGTAAATTAACTGCGGTATTTGGAGCTAAATGCATTGCATTCACCAGGGTTTTCCATGCAATACTCGTGACTAAATAGTTATATCAACGACGTATATCTACGCTTTGAACTTTAAATTGTAGATGATCCAAGCAGAAAGTTTAGAGATTGAAATTGGCGTTCACTACTTGATTTAGAATTGTATTATGACGGGTGGCTCTCTGAGGGTTTTAAGAGTAATTGTACTCGTGTAGTTGTGATTATGGACGCACGTGGTTCAATCAGTTTGGACCCTGCATTCATTTAAGTCCTCACAAGGGTTTGGTTTTAAGTATAGTCAGTGGACTCCATAAATATGAAATGCAACTTTCAGCAAACAATTTTCAGAATAACAGGGAGAGCATGAGAGATATAAAGTGCCAATGTCATAGCCTAAGAAGATTGTTTAACAATCGACCGAGTAATTCCATTTCCTCAGAAGAATGCTATGTCCTCACGTGGATAGTTCAAAGAACAGTGTCATGTCTTCTGATATATAGATGAGAGGACAATACCATGCCCTCGAAAGGGAAACCAAGTCATAATGCTTTGTCCACAGACTTAAGATGGACACAATATCGCGCCCTTAAAGGAACGATGATGGAGCCTAATGTCCTCATTTGAATAGTTGAACGAACAGTGTCGTGTCTCCAGTTGCCAGCTGGGAGATATTATGTCTTGAGAATTACAGTTTAGAGAAGTAGTATAAACATTTATTTCAATGTTGCCATTTCCACAGTAATGTTACAATGTCGTGTAAACTTATTATACAGAGCAAAATGCAATGAATTATGTAATTGTGTATAATAATGTACATGGATCAATACTAGAACAAATTTACGACAACCTTTAGGTATAAGGTGAAGCATCATCCTTTTGTACCCTAACCTATCAACAGACAACAGGAGTACATTTTGGAGAACAAAGTCACATCATGCGAGAGAAAGACTAAAATGCTACCTCGAAGAAATAGAATAGAAGAGAAATTGGGTTTTGAGTTCATGTTGAACAGGTGTAACCAGCCGATTATGACGTCTGTCATGTTACAATGATACTTGTACCGACTCATCCGAAACCAGATCTGTAGTGATGAATTCATATTCTCCAGTCATTACAAACCTAACACACTGCTAAGCCAATACATTCAACAATATTTTCTCGAGCCTTGCGGTCATCCGTCATCTTTCACACATTCGATACAGTCACCCAAAAAAAACTCCCCAAAAAAGAAAATCTCCTCGGAAATTTGATTTATCTCGGTGATGCCAAGTATTCTCCCGACTCGGCGATCGCGGAGGGGATCGTTGTTGATTTGCATGTCAGTCACGTCCGATATCGTTTCTAGATCGTGATTCTTTCCCGCCCGTAATTGAATTCTGGGGCAAGGCGTGAGGGGACGATCTTCTCTCCCTCTCCCCCTCTTTGTAATACACTTCTTGGCACGGCAAGAGGTAGGCCGAGTTACTGGGCCCCTCAAATCGAATTTTCATGGATTTTGCTACACGTGAACGTCCCCATTAGTGGGCGATTTGAGGCAATGGGTCGGGGATTATATTCTCGTCGTCTTCTCTTTTTTTCCCCCGCGCGCGAATGGTTACCAACAATGACGCGACCAGAAAGGCGGGAAGAAAAAGTGATAACCGAGCGCACGGTGGGATCCTAGCGCAATTAAATTGAATCTGTGCTTCAATTGCTAGATAAACACGTACACATAGTGGTTTTTTTTTTGGTTGGCATTAGGTGGGACTTCATTAATTTGGGAATGTATTCATTAGATCCTCGCTGCTTTCTATGCGACAAATTGCGAAATTAATCACATTGACAGGTGGAGGGTTCAATGTTGCAAGATAATGTATGCCATGTGTGCAAGTGATGCTGAAATGTCTGGAAAAAAGGGGAGATTCTTGGTCATTTTAATTGACATTGTAAGCTTGTGCCCCACTAGCATGATGAACTAGAGTGGAAGATCCAGAGCACACAACTGAATCTTATTTGATCCTGTAACAAAGAGAGATAAATGAGCATCAAATAAATTATGTTAGAAAGTGATTTTTTAAAGAAGTCGTTGACCGCAGCTAGCTTCAGGGATTGCATGGCATTTGGTACATTAATGGGTGACCACTCGATTGTCCGAAGGTTCGTTAGTCCGAAGGTTCAGTAGTCCAAACGTTCGACAGTCCGAAGGTTCGATAGTCCGAAGGGCTCATTAGTCCGAAAATAGAATAAGGTTAAATAATCCGAATGCTCGATAGTCCCAATAAACAAGATGAAGTTCGATGGTCCGAATCGACAATAAGGTTCAAATGTCCGAATTGAAAGCATTTTGGATTATTGTCATAGCGTGCTTTCGGATTAATGAACCTTCAGACTATTGAACCTTCCGAATAATTAACCTTATTCTAAACTCGGACTACCGAACCTTCGGACAAAATGAACCTTCGGATTATCGAACCTTCGGACTATTCCCTTCGGACTACCGCATCAAATACTCGGATTAACGAACCTTATTTCATTTTCGGACTAATGAACCCCCGGTTATGGGAAATGTGTGCGTTCGGAGTACTATCGAACCTTCAGATCAATAAACCTTCGGACTATGAAACCTTTGGACTATCGGGCGGACCTCCATTAATGTATTCAGCCACAAAACCAGTTTACGAATCTCACACGATTTTGGGTGTTATCTTGCAGAGATATTTTACATCAGGAACAAACACAGAAAATGGAGTATTTTGATTGGCTCATCATGCTGTCATAAAGCTACGAGTATGGTCCAATCAAAACTTGGCTTTAACTGTAATCCGTAGGTTTGTGCCACTAAATGTAATGTTATAACTTAAAGTTATAACTGGAAAAAATCTATACCCCTAAACCATTTTTTCTGCATGGGAGATTTTCCAAGAGTGGACAAATTAAATACCCCCCTCAACCTTGCCCTTTCCGAACTGATTTAAAGCTCCGCTCAACAGACGCAAAACAGCCCATGGCTTTTTGCATCTTCCACAAAAGTTTATGATAAGAAAATAATAACTTTGATGAAATTTGGAATAAACAATCTTTAATTCCAATCTAGGACCTTGAGGCATGACACCAATAGACGACACCAGTTAGTCTGCACGTGAGACGACGATTATGACCAACGGACATACTATGCAATAAAACCAGGACATTTATACCAATGCGCTTGTTTGAGGATTATTTTCCAGGTCACCAACTTAACCTTTTTATGATTGCTCAAAAGTCAGTTAGTGCCCGAAGGTTGATCAACCGAGAAAAATGCTCAGCGGTCGCGGAAGTAAGATAGATGTGATCTATGGGGTAGACAAAAACAATATGATCTTTGGATGGAAGTAAATGTACTAAGTACGCTTAGAAGCCTTAAGTGGTTGATAAAAACCGACAGGACGACTTTGTTAGGACGGTACTATAGCATTAAAACAAAAAAGTCAAGATTCCTTTCTGCGAAGGTGTTTTAGATTTCATTTACTGAAATGAAGTTCTAACGGAAAACATGTAATAGGAAAAGAATATACAAGTAGAAGATTAGGTTTTAAGTGTGCTTCTCAATAATTAACGTAAGAGAATGAATGTAATGTTTTCGTACAGTGGCTTGGTATAAACAATTTGAAGTATATCTTGAATTCTATGAATCGTAAAATATGAAGTCAAAATTGAAGAATGTTTAATGCTGTGGTTGTGATGTATACACTTTTGCCATTTTTATCCAGTGCTTCTATTTATCGCGAGTTACATATTTTTTTCTACAAAAGAAATAAAATATTATCACTATATTCAAATAGACTCGAGATAGAATCCAATCATGATGGTTGAAGGTCTGTATCTCGTTAGAGCGAAAGACTGCATGTCAGCCCAGGAATTTCCAAATTCATATGGATTTCTAATTGGATCAGGCTGGGCACGTGTTGCCGCTGTGGGAGCCAATGCATGCTTGGAACGTCCGGCATTACGGCTTCATAAATCTCAATTAGCAGAAATTCACATGTGTCTTAGATCTACAAACGGAGCAGATATTGAAAGGCGAAGGCCTTTTGAAGTTTTGCAATGTCTTGTTCAGGTCCTTTACAAGTTTATAATAATACGATTTATTCATCAAACCTTACACACAAATTCTGTTGTAATCCCCACTTTTTATTTAAGAAAAGATCAGACAATCTAACTTTTCCTGTTTATATTTAGGTTCTTCAATTATTGGTAAGTAGTTTAAAGGTCTTCAATTTCAATTTGAAATAGTTTAAACAGATCTTTTGTTGTTCTTATTTTACTGATGCGTGCAGGACTACACAATATCCATGTACCTGCGCCAACACTGGAAAGACGAGCGGCTACGGTACGACAGCCGGCTAGGCAATCTCTCATTGGACGGCAGGCTGGCTGACGTCATCTGGGTGCCGGATACCTACCTGGCCAATGACAAAAACTCCTTCGTGCATGACGTCACCGTTAAAAATAGACTTCTGCAGCTACACTGCGATGGCAGCGTGATTTACGGCATGAGGTGGGGACGGAAAAATAATAAATTGCTTAAATTCTTTGGTGTTGACATACATTTTGTAACTTTTATTCCAAATTTTTCACTAAACTTTGTTCCCTTTTCAATGTTAGAATATTTCGAGAAAAGAATTAAGATGGTTCCAGATTACACTCGAAATTGAAGGTCCGCATAATTCCTTTAAAAACGATGAAATAATCATGCCTGCAAGGAAGAAAAATATAAACTAACAATTTGACAATATCAGATCTGTAAGGAATGACAGTCTCAATCTCTAAAATGTCGGACTAAAATTGTGCCTTAAATTATCAAATGAAGAACTCAAAATCATACGCTGTAGGGCCGGCGAGACCCGAACCTCAGACATCCCAATAGAATTGAGAAAGATGGCTAACTGACCCCGTAAACGCGGCCTCCTTCAGCCTGACCTACTCAAGGCCTAATGCAATCATTGGTCGGAAGTTTCATTAAGGTCTGATATCTTTCGGCGCGAGTGCATACTTACACGGGTCACTCCCCACAACAAATCTCAAATATTGACCCGCAGACTGCAATGTACACACACAAACACCACGCTCTCCAAAAAACACGAAGCATATGGCAAAAAGTACAGCTGCTCCCCGATAGCTTCGACAAACCAGAAGTCACGAAGATCAGCAGCGGGTCGAGAAATGGGAGGGGGCTTAGAAAACCTTATTCCAATCGCTGATTAGCCTTGCTGAATTATCGACAAAACTGGGGCTTGTGTGGTACAACGGCAACAAAGCTTAGACCATGGGAAAGGTATGATGAATAAACACGGAGGGACTATGGGTGGTTAGTGGACCGAAAGCGTGCACGGGGTCTTGGGAGAAGTCTTCCGCTTGTAGGAGCGGAGACAAGACATCTCCTCCCGGGGCAGGTGCCTGATCTGACAGGCACGGAAGACGGGAGGACTAAAGCCCCAGCCTCCGGGAGAGATTGCCAACAGAAGGGGGCAGAACCAGACACAAATAGGGAGACAGGAAACCTACCCATAGACGCAATCTAGTCGATGCTTGGCTATTATGCTGCTGCATGAGATGATACATCAGCATGCACGCACGATGCGATATCAGGAAACACCGTCTGAAAGCATCCTTTGAGTTCAGGTGAAGTGAAAATGACTGGCACATGATGCCATAGAAAAGCAGGTGTCATCGCGAATGAAAATCTAGTTTGTGGTGTGCACTATTTAGTGATGACGTTCAAGGTTTACCACACGATTTACCACTGGATGTTGAAAATAAATCTCAGTCGCAAAGTGAAGTGCAAAGTATAGACTTTGAACCAGCCACCTATACGTAACCGAAGCCAGAACTTACGCGTGGAATTGAAGACTTGGGTGTAGTCTAATCAATTCCCGGCCATCGCGACAGAGCTTGTATAAAAAGGGTTTATTTGTCTCCTCAAAAACTATATCCACATAAACATAGACTGTCTTGCTATACCCATGCATGACATAAAAAGTTATGAGAATCTAAAACGATTTAACTGACGGCAGAGGGCGCTATTGGCAAGGAGCATTTTTTACAAACTTAACACTGTTAAAAATACATTAAAATGCCAAACATGACTAGTTTAGTTGGGATGAACGGCAATTAAGCATGAAGTACACGTTTGGCATGAAGAACACGTTTGGCACAACATTAACGAACCCCAATTCATAACAGGAGAATAATCAAGGGAAAAAAAACAACGCTGCGGAATGGAATCTAATGTACCGTAAATTGACGCAGTTGCCTGCAAAGTGACGCAGTTACACGTAGCAACCCGTCAAGTCATACCCAATTAGTGATTGGTTGGGCGATTTGAAAGCAATGGTCAGAGAACAAACAGCTACCGGCCTTTTCCACAATTCGGCCGGTCATCATCCCGCGCACTAATCCGCAACCGACTTAAAAACTAGTGACGCATTTGACGCGCACGATATTTTCATCATGCTTAAGCCGTTTGTTTGTTTGTTTTTCCTCTTCCCCAATGAAGGATTACCACAGTGGCATCTTGCATGATGGACCTGCGGCACTACCCGATGGATCAACAGAACTGCACCTTAGAAGTGGAAAGTTGTAAGTACATCGGGGTCATCTGTTTCAGCTTCAGATTCTCTCGGCTATGTTGTTCCTGGGTACTTGCATAAATTATCCAGTATTTGGATAGCACTGTTTTCCAAAAGGCTCAGCTTTAGTCGTCTTAAGGCGTTGTTCTTATTGCGTGGCTTCTTGGATACGAGGTTGACTATACACACTCTGCACTAAGTAAGGTGGTTTTCATGGAATCAAAATGAATGCCAGAATTCCCAAATATGAAACGCAATGATGTCTGGAAATAATAATACAATACAGTACAATTTGAAAACCGCAACAACTCATCTCATTTTTTTGGTATTAAATACCGGTTTCAAAATCATCTGATTGTGAATAAGTTCTTGAGCCTGGCGTAAAACAGAGAACCCTGCTCGAAACGCTGGAATAGCCAAATCTTTTAAGAAATACATACAATCCAAAAAAGATATCAGATGTGCCACCGCTTAACATCTACCCTAATTCCCGAATCAGTGAAAGATGTCTGATTCTTTCATGTAGGCCTTTACCAATATGCAGGAACCGGAGTTTAGAACCGGCGATTTGAACCGGATGACACCAGTTCAAGCCAGCTTATACCGGCTCTTCTAAGATTTCAATTTAAATGTTTTCACTTCCACTTGCAGACGGATACACCCTGTCTGAAATATCCTACTCCTGGCAGTTTGGCGGGAAATCGGTTGTCGGCATGGAAAACATCAAAATCGCCCAGTTCACCATCACGGAGTGGAAGCTGATATCCCGGCTACAGAACTTCTCCACGGGTACGTTCACCGCCGGGAGTTCAAAATCCGGAGGTGACCATACCACTGATTCCTTTGGCGCAGCTGACTTGAAACAGACTAACAAGACAAACCTCCCTTTAGATATACATGTATCTCTGACTCGGAACTGCACATCTAGCTGCGCCGACATAACCTCTTTTCAAGACTCGCCGGTTAATAGGACAGAACAACTGACGGGCGGGTGACTCTAACCGGCCGGTGCAGGAACAAGACAATAACCTTGACAAACAGACAAAAAGAACAACCGAAGCCAACCGGCAGACCACGACTTATCAACTGGTTGGACAAACCGACAAACAACGGCCTCATCGCAAAGACGAGGCTGTGGCTTAAAGTGTGATAGCACTTTCAAATCAAGCGACAAACACAAACTGACGGACAGAAATACGAGATAGATTTTTTTTTTTAAATGGCATGCTCCTTTTCGATTCTTCGATTTTGTTCACTTAAAGAAAATGTTTCGAAGATGTATGCAACTAATAACCTTAGATAGCCAATGTCTTGACAATGATTTGTCAGTATTAAACAGTCAACGAGTGGGCTTCATGTAGACAACAGGCCCTAGCAACACACAGTAACAGGCTTTTCCAGAAAGGCCAGTTTGAAACTCCAGACTGCTCACTCTAAACTAGACTACCTCCGTTTCCCCCGAAGCAAACATAAAAGGATGATCTGATCAATGTAACCTTATTGATCCCAAAACTGGTTACCTGGATTAACAATTTGTGTGAAACACTCTGAAGATCTGACCGGTGCCGCGCAAACATTTCTACATCCCAAGCGTGTCATCCAAAGGAACATGCGTAGGGTTGGGTAATTGAATTTTTGACTGAGTAAGCCGACTACCGCAGCGCGCGTGATAGAATCACAACTCGCAAGCCTGACCTGTTTTGCTGTCAAAATTCGAAGTGATCCGAAGTGAGCCCATAAACGGCAAGATATATAAAATTACAAACTATGGCCCCAAAGCCCAGATTCCTCTGAGACAGAATTTTATGGTACACCTATCCAAAAAAAAAGAGACCAGAAAAAAGCCGAAGATATCCACAATCGAATAAATGAAAAAAGAAAGAAGCCCGCCAGGGGTGTGGGGATCAGCATGCCGTATTTTCGAATCCTTCCCTACTTAAAAAAGCAGGTGTTAGCGGAACCTGCGCACTGCCTGAGTCCTATTTTCATCGCAGAAGAACTACAGGGGATAGAGTTTTTAAAGACAGAGATATTGATGTATTTGTGGCGGGCTTTGTGTGTCCACTTGTAATTATTTTGATGGGTTAATGGACGTCTTATTTGGCGGGCACTCGGGGTCGGATTCGGTAAAGACCCGGTAGGTTTCAGAGCTCTGAAAAGGTTTGAAGGCATTTCCTTACTCGATCGGTCGTCGGGATTTTTTTTCCGGTGTTAAATTCGCATTTCTAGGCTACGTGCTTTTTAAACCTCGACCCTGAGGCGACGTGTTTTACTCGTCAGGGAAGACGAACGGGGTTGTTAATACGTACGACGTCGGTAAACTCGGCCACGTCATGGTGACCTGATTAATGGAAATTATATTTTTGTGTTTTATTTTTGTTTGGCCTGTAACCGGCGAAAAATGCAAATGCAAAAGCATGCATTACTCACCTGGTCATTGTTAAGTGAAGAAAAGGTTCAAGAAAAAAAATCAAGAAAAAAAACCTGAGGCTTCATTCGTGGTTTCCACCATGGGGTGAAATTTAGGATTCCAAAAATGGGTTCGAAAATGGAAATATTAAGTCTGGTTACTTGTCGTGATCAATTGAAAGGTCACTTCCATTGATTGCAGCCTGAAGTCAAAGTATATGTATTAGATATTGATATTTGAGCCCTGAATCTGGGTCATTGCATTGACTGACGATCGTGGTGTGATGATCAAAATTGGTATTAAGATTCCGACCCAGGGGACCTCCAAACTGAAATTGTGTATCAAAGGACGCTGTAGACCTTTGGTTCACGGGTTTTGACATTACGGTATCACATCATACCAGGTCAGCACATTCAGATCATATACAGTGTCATGTTGTAATGTTTCGGTCAGGGGTATGACATAACAGGTCGTACCAGCTCAGGAAATTTAGATCTTAACGGGCTATGGCATATTTCAGATCATTTCCGGGATGACATTAAGGTCATGAAGTCACAACATTGTGGTCTTTGACATGTAGGTCATAAATTCCCAAGGAAATTTTCAGAGATGAAGAGACAGGGTGGATTCTTTTAAAGAGATCACAACCAACATACAGCGACTTCTGATAGCATTTTAAGGTCTGTGTACGCGGATGTCTTCTACATGTATACTCTTCGGTGATGTAAATCAAAATGTTCATTCTTTTTTCCCCTGTCCGGCAGGGTCGTATCCCAGACTCTCCATGAGCTTCCTGCTGAAGAGAAACATCGGCTACTTCGTCCTCCAGACTTATCTCCCTTCCATCCTACTGACCATTCTCTCCTGGGTGTCCTTCTGGATCAACCACGAGGCCACATCCGCCAGGGTCGCTCTAGGTAAAAATATTAACAAGTGCAGTCGAGTCTCCATTACAAGTCTCGGTCACAAGAAAATCACAAATCCTTTCACGAGACCAGTCACTAGGAGAAGAGGATGAACAATAAGCGGGGGAGCTTCGACTTGTGACTTGATGATGTGAGAACTTGTGAGGACTTGTGAGAACTTTTGACAGAACATTAACCAAGCCTGACACAAATGAATGCAAGACGCCCAAATTGTCATATAGGCCTACATCTCAGAATAAATCAGGTTTGTTCTCCTGGTTAGGGTTAGAATCTGAAAGAAAAACCAAGTATACCTTCTAGTGCACACCAAATTATCGATTCATGCACTTTTCATATTAAAGACACTGTGTCCGGTATCCACATGGCTATGGACACTTGTCATCTGCCTTCATTACGACATAAGGCTATACATGGTGGATAACACACTCGAGAGCAGTGTACAGATACACCATATATATAGCTATTATAAGAACCAAAGTCATTAACTCGACGTTAATTACGCTGTGTTACTGTAGGTAACTCTTTCATCACTTATCTTCACCTACTTCACAGGCATCACGACGGTGCTCACTATGACAACGATCAGTACGAGTGTCCGCCAGTCCCTGCCCAGGATCTCCTACATCAAGTCCATCGACATCTACGTGGTCACCTGCTTCGGCTTCGTCTTCTCGGCTCTGCTGGAGTACGCCATAGTCAACTTCAACTACTGGTCGCACCACAAGCGTAAGGCGCGGGAGGCCCTCAAGAGCGTCACGGCTAACAATAACGTGGACGGCGACAACGGCAACAACTCAACTCTCCGGACCAGGAGGTTCCGAGACGGTACCTACCAGCAGGTTAAGGTACGTGTAGGCAAAATAATTTCTTCTCCAACTTTTGGATATGGTATATGATAGTGTAGTGATACGGTATGGTTTAAGATTTCATGGAATGGTCTCTGAAGATGATTCCTGATTTGCAAAGATGATGCACCAATTATTTACCAAAAATTGTGGTGAAGAGGTTGTGATCATGACGCCAATACTATAGTTGGCCTGATCAGGCCTAAACAGATAATTCATTACTATTAGGCACTGTATTACAAACTCGTTGGTTTTTGAGCAAGTAATCTATGGTCTTTGTATATACCAACAGATGCAGTACAATACAAATATCGGTCAACGATTGTCACAGCGGGCCCCGGACAACGGCGATGAGACCGAAGCCATGGTGACAGAGGAGATCCCCATGAACAGGCTGAACGGATTGGAAGGCGATGGTCATGTGGTGCGGAAACCCTCCTGCACTGGCGGCAAGGTTCGCCGGCGGTCCAGCGGCACTAACTACCGGCACACCCCTCCCTGGTTCGGCCCGGGGAGCTCGGGCAGGGCACGGAACTCGACCTTCCGGCGACGGACGATGCGCGTCCGTCTGCCCGCGGTCCGCAACGTGAACATTGTTGACACCTACGCCCGCATCCTGTTCCCTAGTCTTTTCATCATTTTCAACATTGTCTACTGGAGTGTGTATCTGTTGTGGCAACAACAGTGGAAAAACAATCAGACGTGGACTGAGTGATGATGAGCAGTGAAGGCTTTGCTTCATTTCATTATTTTTTTTCTTCCACTGACCGTCAGGACAGCACCTGATGTTAAGATCAGGAGAGAGTTTGACTGTGTGCATACAGAATTTTAGAGCGAACGTGGCGTCTGGGTAACAGACGAATGGATTGCTTGGTGGTCGCATCAAATATGCATGGTGCTTTAGTGTTTTGAAGAGAGAGAGAACATCAACACCATGCCAAGAGGGCTTGGTACAAAAAAAGATACTTTGAAACTACAGATGGTTTCAACATGATTTGAGAAAGACTGTGGAGGACATCGTGGTGCCCCTTTTTTATTTCACAAAACATTTTCTTCAAAACCGTATCTTCAATTAAGCTCCAATGAGTGAGTTTCAGTTGCTTTTCCATGGTGTCGAGAGAGGGCGTGCTGACAAGAAACCGCAACTGACAACTATACAATCAAATAAGTGGTTAATTTTCACCTCAAGTACGATGTGAGTGGATACATAGTATGGAAGCAGCATTGCGCCATTTTGTTTCCTTTAAAGTTGTTCGGACTCGCATGAGACAATGGAAACAAAATGGCGGCCAAAGTGCTAATACTACAACTTCCTTAAAAACTGCACTACTACAAAAGTAATCGAATTGGTAAATTGTCTTCTAAAAGTGTGTCTGATATTTTTTTGTGTGTCGACAGCACAAGGCGAACAGTTACTAACCTAGGTTTGCAAATATCTATACAATGTCCTGTTTTAAGATTTTGACTATCAAAAGATGTAGAAAGGTTGCTACAAACTTTTGCCTGTCTAAATGCAATTTCGATTATTCTCGCAATACAAAGAAAATAATGGTGAAAAATTGTAAATAGAAATAATGGCAACAAATAATAATATTTACCAAAACAAAGTTATAGTCAAATATTTAACTTATCAGAAAACGTTTTCACAAAAGTATTCATATTAAAAACTTGGAATTGTACGTTTTGAATTAACAAAGGCACAATCTTGGAGTTGAGACCTGTCTTTAGAGCATTGAAAATTAGGGCATGAACTTTTTTATACCTGTGCATTACTTAGAAAAAAGCATGATTTTTATATTTTCTTCAGTTCCATATCGTAAAAAAAAATTCGGGTCTCACTTCTTATCAAGTTTCGCAAACAGTTTTTCTTTAAACAAATTTTAAAACAAACTAACTTAAATAACAGTGAATCAAATGAGTGAATATATAAAAAGTATGATATTCTACTCTGGGATTCAAAGTTCTCAATTTCAAGTTGGTCTTCTTTTTAAGAGTTATGCAACTAAAAACATAATTTTTCTTATCGTGTCCCTTTCGCGTTTTTTATGTACAGACAATGACAAGAGGACATTTATTCAACATAATTCATATTTTAACATAGTATTATCTGTTGAACTGACGTTTGTAATGTGCAGACACCGGTAGATGTTAATCAACACTAATTTTGTATTATAAGCAGTTTTATTCCTTTTTCGTTAGACAAGCAGTATTAGGGAGTAGGATGTTCTCAACATATTCAAACTGTTTCTTTTCCAACACCATTTTAGAAAGCTTGAATGGTTTCTCTCGAATGTCCAATTTAAAGAGTATCATCGTTATAAATCAAGATTCCCGGTATTGCGTTCAGGTTTCCAAATCTGACATCAATATTACTTTATTTTTTATTTTCAAACAAAATCCGTCCTTCGAAAATAAAATGGTCATTTCAAACTTGAAAAGGTCGATCCAATATTGTTTTAAACTGTATTTAAGTTGAAGTATTTAATTTTTAATGACTCCGCCAAACGGGTAATCTTGCTTTGCTTCAATGAGTTTGCTTTTTTTCAGTTTCAAACTGTAATAAGTATTATTCTTGTTAAACGTCTAGTCGATGACTTACGGACATTTTATGCCTTGTAGAGGGCTTTGATTCAACGTGTAGAAGATTATTTGAACGATCTTCCAAAAATTGAGGGACGTGTCATTTTACATTGAAAAAAAGTGACAGAAATTACTGTAAAAAATATAAATGCAATTGTCATTTTCATAATTGGCAGGCCGGGATATGCATCAACAAACGCTTGAATAACAAATGTTTTTGTGAAAATGTGTACATGTGTAGCTACAAATCTCATGGATGTTTTATTTTTCATGCAATTGACAAATAATTACTCGATTTATAACAAATCAAAGAAAAATTGTGTAAGAAAAGATCAATTGTAAGCTTACAGTAGCTGTGTTCGATTACTAGAACCAATCTCCCGATTTACCCCGCATATTTTCCAAGTAGATCCACCCTTTTTTGACAATTGTTAAATAAGTAAACAACAGACTTACATTTTCTTCTGAGATAAACTAGAGGGAAGTTGTAAGTTTTTCATGCTCGAAAAAAAGGCAAAAAAGCCCAAACATACACAAACAAAAAAATAAGCAATAGCTCAATACAATCTCTGTATTCATACGATTTGCATTTATTACAATAAACAGTCGTTGATTACTTTCACACGCGATGAATAACAGGACCGCATTTAAAAAAAAATGTTGATCAACAAATGAGCCAGAGGATTTTACGGATAACATGGGATTTCTCGCCATTTTTTTCGAGCAAACATTCATAACCAAACATATTATTGTGAATAAAAGTTTTTTTTATATCTTGATTTTATATTATAATAAAAAAATTCAATAATTCAGACATCCATCAGACACAGCTACTCAGCGTTCAAATTAGGTCTTGAACCTTATCCTAAAAACATTTACCCTAACCAACCGTTTTTCGTTTGAGAAGCCAATTCATGTATCTTTTTTGCCTAATTTGAACGCTGGATGCAACCGTCTGTAAACCGACATGGTGACGGACGGACATACCGACAAAGCACCACGATTGTATTCGATAGAGATATTGTTCATTTCGAATACGCTGATGGAATAACAGACCGACGGACAGAGATAGAAACAGACATACACAGTTTGACAGGCTGAAGGACGGACAGGCGGATGATGTGATTCCTGACTCTATAATTATGACGAGGTGATTTAATTCTCTCAATCATTAAAGCTACATAACAAATCTCGAAGTTACGTATCATACTGATATTTTTATCTACCTTTACTTACTTAAATATTTTTGTTATTGGCCGTTTATAACTGCACAATTTGTACAATATTCGACTATCAACAACCCTGACAATCGATTCTCAAAAACCGACAGAGCATTGATCAGAATTTTGTTCTTGTCAGTGTTTCTAATGCCGAAGTTCCACAACTTTAAATTTTTCAAAGCTTAGATCAATTTGGAATAAATTATGAATCTGGAAAATCCGTAATGGAGAAAACGTGGACCATGCAACACAACAGACGACAGAATGCATATTAGCACGGACAGCCAGACGGAACTCCCGACGAACAAACCGACGTACTAAAAGCGAACTGACGAACAGACCAACTGAAACTGCCGAGACCAACAGACACACCTTCACGCTAACAATTACATACAAATGGTTGGGGAAGAATGAGCATTATTTTACAATAAAGGTTAACAAATTTTGTACAAAATGGTGGTCCGGTGTGTCTTTATTTCAAACAGTTTGGATCAGTAATTTGGACCAAACAGACTTGACATGTATCTGATTCAAATGTACGTGTTCTTCAGGATGAAATTTTTATTACGCCTAATTTGGCTCACAGCAGATTATGTACGATAATTATGTATTTTGCTCAAGGTTTAAAACAATTCTTTAATGGCCTCTAAAAGACATGTCTGAAATTTGTTTTTGCTGCTTCTGTGTAGTGCTCTTTGTGCCCCACTGACTGTCGATTGTCAGCCGAGCAGTGCTATTGTATAGGATTACCTGCTAACGCCATAGTGTATCCCGGATGCACGAAACGACTACCAGTGAATAGCCATTCTGAATCAATCAAGAGTTTATTGGCGATCTGAGACCAGCTATAGTTTAGGCTAACCAAGGTAACACTATACTAGGAAACACTTGAAAGACTTCATAGCAAACGGTTTGAAATAGAGTGTGGGGGTCACCATTCCCATCCCCCCCCCCCCCAATCTGCAAAGCTCCAGATGCGATATTTATGCTGCCGCATAAAGATATTTCTTTACTTACTTCCATACAAGCAAAATCTGGTACATATAAAAATTAAAGCACAAGTTATACTGGTTCAAATGTAATTCATTGCGTGGTTATATAGGAGACGAAGTTGTGCTAATCATGTAACATTAATATAATATTGCATATCAGACATAAAACTATACCACACTCCAAGAAAATGTTGGCGTGAAACTCACCCCAAGAGTGAAGGGAATTTGCTGCACGTGTACACGAACCTTACAAGGTCGGCTCTTTACCAAAACATGGGTACCAACCATCGGTACCAACAGAGCGGTACGTTAAAATCGTACTTCAAAATTGTTTATAATGTAAACAAAAACGCACACAAATCTCACTTTATTTTCGGGACTTAGCATACACATTATACGTGCATTTCTAAACCAGTTAAAATGGTCCCGACAATATTGTCAATCTATATGTCATCAAAGATGTCTAACTTATTAACGTTGCAATTAATAAACAGTAAATGTGAATAAGAAATACATATAAGTGGCGTACACTGCGTAATTTACACATGGAAATATTTAAAATCACAATATAATTAATCAGATACCTTTTGTACCATGTTACGGTCCACGTTACATGATAGTGACAACGTATACCGTGTAGCAGTCAATTACATTAAAAATATTAAAGTTACATGTATATGGAATTTTTCGCCCCCTCCGGCCTGGGAAGGGCAGACAAATTTACACATTGAAATGTTTACACTTTTTTGGGTAGGGTTTCCTCACTTGATACCAATGTTTTAGTCTTCAGACATGGAAGTCATTGTTAATCGTATCATTTCAAACCTGGTGTTGTTTGAACACCAAGCATCGTGACGCTGTTTCTAAACCATCTAACCAATTAATGTCGTCATCCTCGTAACACAGTTAATAGCGCCATCTGTTGTTTCCAATCAGAAAGTCGCTTGGAACAAAGTGCAAGACATATGTCGCCATCTTCAATTCTGAGAAAAGAATAATTAAACAAAAACACAGCAGTTTACACTTATTTCGACATTGGATGCGCTCAGAATGGCTGAAAATACTACCACCATTGTAAATGTAATGCAACACTAGTCTTGATACACACTGAACAGCAAGGAAAGTGACACAAACTCTTCAAAAACATAAGACAACAACTTTATTCGTCATGTCAATTTTACCACAATTATAACGAGGATGTGGGCATATTATTTTGTGGACATCTTGCCACAGCAGACCTCAGGGGAAGCCTGTGAACTCTTGTTCCCTCTGGATAAAATTCTATTTTGTTTTCATTCAGCCGATGAGGGCGCCATCACACAGGCGTGTGACTGCCGTTTCCCTTAGTCTGAGCCTCAGGGTTTGCGGGCAATTTCTGCAAAGCAAAAACCAAACAACAAACACAAGCAAAGCAGGAATTTAAACTGAACTCCAAAGAAACTGGCTATTGCACTTGATTAGAAGACCCCCCAAAAAACATTTAATTTTAATGAAAAGCAAGCACCTTTAGCAAAAAAAAATACCTTTTTGTTTTCAGGAGAACGGGCCTTGTGTTTTTCGATGTATCGACTCTGTAATTAGAATCATAAAGAAAAATTAGCAAAGAAATGGTTGCCAACTTTATTGTACTGTTCTTACCCGACCCCCGGCTATAAACCTTTTTTGATATTCGCAATGCATCTTGGGATTGAATGTCAAACAAACCAGGCAATATGTGCACAAACCTATAGGGCCGAGTACCAGTTACTTTCATTTTTTCGTTCTCATTTATGATCTTTTTTTTGTAATGGTCATTTCCACACATTTTTGCACCGGTAAAATCCTATTTGAATGAAGAACATTTCGGGGAATCCCTTTTTTTATTTTAGAGATGTCAAGCTCACACCCCCAACACTGACCAATCACACAGGGCCTTCAGGCTGTCACCCCCAACACTAACCAATCACATAAGGCCCAATGACTGGTACATGAAATCAATTTAAAAAATAGTTCTTATCTTTATTTCTTGAGTTGAAAATCTGAATTTTGCAAATTATATTTCTAAAATCATATGCATTCACAGGTCCTGGAACTTAATCCTGGAAAAATAATGAAGAAAAAATATTTTAAAGCTTGACTGGTCCCATACCCCCATAGGTTTGTGCATAAACTGCATTGCTTGTTTGTCATCCATTCCAATGATGCAGTGCGAATTTCAAAAAGGTATCCTTGCAACCAACCAGCCAGCCAGAAAAAAAATTTATTCCTCCAACTTGGGCAACTGTACCTCAGTTCACTTGTACAAACTGCCCCTATGGGTGCTGGGACATCTTATTTCTTGGAGTTCCCACTAAATTGTTACCAGTGACTCTACCTGGGTATTAATTTATTGCATGCACATGGAATGTACGAGCCTTGGTCATGCAGGGTAAGTGGTTATTCCCACAATACTTTACACTTCCAGTTTATGTGAAAGAGAAATTGGTTACTATTTGGCTGTGGAGACAATCCAACACACCTTAGCTGCGATGATCTCATGTCTGGATCTCCAGAAGAGATTGCCACCAGCTACCAGGAGTGCCACGGCTAGACCGCCCAGGAGAATGTAGAAGATCCCTGCCAAGGTCACCAAGTTCAGAGCACTAGTCTTCGACTAATATCAGAAATGAAAAATCATGTTGTGGTCAATATCGACCACACATCAACAGAACTTGGGTCAAAGGTCACGACGAAACCTGCATGTCATTTTTGTTGACAAAACACTTGACATACGGAACATATCTTACATGTAGGTCTTATGTCATTATAACCTTGCCTAAATTTACACTTGTATTCAATAGGGGTTAATGTTTATACGCAAGCTTCTACAATTCTGCTATCTACCTTTGTCATAGGGTCCTTGATCCAGAAATGATGATATTTAAGGTGACATAACTCTGGCTCAACAAATGTACACTTCGCTATCGGCGGCGCTAAAGAACGGGGTAAAACGACGAGCGCCACCAAGAGTCGACGCCTGGACTAGCAGGTCCAGCAAATTATCTTAGTTCATACCATGTGATCAGGAATATTTGGAATTCTGCAGGATTCGTTGTTGGATGTCCACCATTTCTTCTCCAGCCTGGTCAAGATGGCTTGTTCTTGAAGCTCCAAAATTGCCAACGTTACGAGCTCCCTTTAAAGAAAACGAAAAAGCAAACTTGTCATCTACATCATGCTCATTTCGGAATATAGTTTTTATTATTAAAATGTTGTGTTTTTCATAACTTAATAATGTTGTCCATTCATCTAATACTTATATTTTTATTAGATTCACAGAGGAGGGAAAAAGGCAATCAAACTAACATCACCAACAATAAATTATAACTTCCAACTCTTCTGCAGTTTCAACAACTCAAATTATTTAATTTTGAATTTTTCTAGAAAATATTTCTGTTAACACAATCACTTTATCTCCTCAATCTGATTAAACCAATTTGGTACCGATTTTGTTAAAATCTCCAACCAACAGACCCCTTGCAAAGAACGCCCTCGCTAGCGGGCAGGCCTTTGATCCTCTGTAATGCGCATGAGTATAGACACTCGTACTTCCACTGTCAAGAAAATGTAAGTAACAATATCTCCTCGCTGAGGGCGCTCTGCGAAAGGGGTCAGAGATCCTCCATACCCCTTCCACCCCCCCCCCCCCCCCCCCCCCCCGCCTACCTGACATCCACCAGCTGCTTATTGACCCCTATCCCGTAGCTCTTGGAGTCCAGCAGGTTCCCCACTCTCACGGTGTTACAGGGCGGTTGCTGGCTGTAGTAATCGTTCATGGCCGATTCTAGGAGGAAGGCGAACTTGCCGTTGGACTTACGCACCCGCTCCACGCCCTCCTCGGTGGTGTTGGCGAAAGGCGAGTCCTCCGAGTTGGCCATGAACTCCCACATGTGACGGTAGACTGGCACCGTAGACGTCTAGGAATATCAAAGAAATATAAAAATGGAAATAAACAAAGTGGCGTTTGTTTCTGTTGGGGGGTTGAACTACCCAGTCATCCAATGTTTAAGCCGAATGTCTCCTCGAAATTCCCTTGATGATCCGCTGCTTAATTCCGCCTCGTCTTCGAACACCTCGTTGTTTGAGTTTTATACAGTATGCAATGGAGGTTCTTAAGTCCATTCTTTCCAACGGAATCACGAGCCTTGCTAAAAGTCCTTGATAATAGTAAGCCAGAGAGAATAAAAATGGCAAGCAATTGTTCCTGTCTGAGTGATCTGATTACAAATGGTTACTGTAGCATTCTTGAAATGCCTTTGGTTACAAAGAATTCTCCGCCCAGGAACAACATTACCCTCTTTTTAATACTTTGTATGGGATGACATCGAAGCTCCAATAACAATGCGTTGGTGGTATAGTGGTTAGAATAGTTGCCTTCCAAGCAATTGACCCGGGTTCGACTCCCGGCCAACGCAAATATTTTTTTTCATGGTTGGTTCTTTTATCGATACATACTGGGGGGGGGGGGGGCACGAAGAAAATCTTTAAACAAGAAGTTTACTGTTTTCCAAACCTTGAGGAACGTCTCCGTGGATCCCGACTTCAAGATACCATAAGTAATAGTCGTCTGATCCACCAGATCAGCAGCCGATGATATGGGCATGACCATACGCTTAGCTGTCAGGAAGGCAGCCAGGTTGGCTGTGTAGGATGAGACAAGGATGAGGGTGAAGAACCACCAGACACTGCCGGTGACTCGCCCTGCGAAGGACCTGCAGGGGGAGGGAGCCGCAAAATAATCAGTGAAGTATCATCCATTTTTCTCGTTGAAACTATAGAGGCGCTATTTGGTTTTTGAAAATCTGGTGAACATAACATTTTACCGAAACAACATAGTGACCTATTATTGTGTTCACCATATCCAAAGAGGCGTGTATAAATAGGCCAGACGTATGCCCAACGTAACAACTATCAGAAAACGATCGTAATTTGGGAATTTCTGATTTATCTAAAACAAGTTAGCCTTCCATGAAAGCCGAAGCACGCGGACATGACTTTGTACGAAACCTCGCCACACTGTACCGCAGGTCGCTAGGTATGCGCATGGAATGACTTGTCTTATTAAAGACTTGCTTGATACGACAGGTAAAAGCGAATTCTGCTTCAACACCGACTTCTCCAACACCGACTTTTCTCTTTCTGTTCCTATTTTTCAGGATTCAAGTCTACCATAATCAACGGTCGGTGGCGTGTTTTACAAACCTCGGGCACAGCTCGCAACCCTGCTGCATGAGCGCCCCAACGGTGAACCACAAACTGTTGAAGATGCCGAAGTCATTCTCCGTCTCTTCGCGGTCCTCCGTGACGAACCTCTCCCCGGGTTTGTTGAGATTGAACTCCCCCGTACCGGACGGCGTAGGGGGAGGGTGCTCCACGGGATGCCACTCCTTGGGACTGAAGCGGCTCACCTGATATTGAACAAAAGGGGAAGTGCTGTGAAAAAAATGTCTTCATTTCAGATATTTTCAGGTGATTCTTTTACTTCTCATTAGTTCGAAAATTGAAATTATAGTTGAACAAATATGCTGAAACATTGTTTTCTGCTTAACCGGGTTTTGCCACACTAGCAAATAATAATGCAGAGCAGTTGCCGACGACGTCGTAAAACGCTATACACGTACTGCATCATGGGAAAAACTTGACACCCGTTTCGTATTATACCATCCCCCGATGACGTCATGCGGATAGCTAGGCAACCGCCGTCCAACCAAACTAGCACCCTTTGCATGTTATTTGGCCCATATTAAACAGCATACCAGCACTTTTAAACCATTCATATTTCAAGAGATATAAATGAAGTGCAGAAGATAGAGAACCGCTTGCATCACGTGACCACAAAATCCATTTTGTAAACAAACGTCACATCAATGACATCATCTATATGTTGCAAAACGATTTTTTGCACCAGGTGATAAGTCTTTATGTCTGAGAGCAAGTGCTTTTTTCTCGATGCCTTGCCGTGTTTGTGTGATACTGGGCACAAATAACGAAAGGGGGAAAGATTATCCACACAACAAAATTTGTGGGATAATGTCGTTATCAATTGAAAAGTAAGTGGCCTTTGGGAAATTCTTGGTGGCGCTCTATGTTGTGAATCCCATCTAGTCGAGGCAACGCATGGTGGTGCACTATTGTGAAACCCTTATATTTGAAACAAAAAACACGAGGACTCATCACTGATCCCAACCTGGAAAAGCACCACGCTGACAATGATGCAGGCGAAGACAATACTCATCCAGATCTCGGGAGCCAGGGGCTGCATGAAGGTGAAGACGCCAGGCTGGTTGTCTTGAGGCTTCTTGATCATGATGCTGACCCCGAGGCTCATGAAGGGTTTAGTGAAACCTACCATCCGCTCACGCTGCACGTTGATGGTCAGAGGAGCCACAGCTATGTCCGCTTTCTGGAAATGAGAACATCATGAGCTTTACAGAGACTTATAATTTTAGGTTTAGATAATTCTGGCTCCACATGGCTCCGTCCGTCGTGTGTGGTCAAAGATAGCAACAGCTGAGCCCGATTTCTGTAAATGGAGCATCAAGACGTCATAAGAAGCTAGGTAAAATAAACTTAATTGGTTTCATATGAAAATCGCAGAAATGAAACGAGGAGGGGAATGTAGGAGGCCAAAAGTATCCACTCACGCCGTAAATGAGTTCGCCGATCATCCCGTTCCATTTACCGTTCTCCATCTGTGCGCCATACTCGCCGTCAGCAACCAGCTTAATTTTGTACCTGAAATGAGAAAAAACTAATACTTTGGTAATCATTGTGACAAAAAAACCCACAAGCAATCAAAACGATTTTAAGGCCAAAGAACATATTTTTAAAAATGAATATCCACAGATAATTTGAAACACTTGGAAATGTGAATATATGGCGTTGGGTTGATAAAGTATACACTCTTGCCAGACAGGTTACCAACCAAACAACCATTATATCTAACTGAACAGCAAAGCAGGGAGCCAGCTTGAGGAGAACCAGCTAGCAAACTTGCCAGTTTTTACAAGTGTTTGAAGTAACGCACCTATCACATATAGCATGACAGACCGACCAACCGACAAACAGAATCCAGCTATACCTGAAGATGGAGTGTTTGCTTTTGTAGACTTTGACTATCTCCTCCAGTAAATCCACGCAGTAACCCTCGTACTTGTCGATGCCTCTACGCTGATCTGCGTCTTTCTTAAGCATCAAGAATGGTGGGCTCTGTTGAATAAAGATAGATATACTTTGAAAGTCTCCATTGATGGTATCACTTGTGGATCACAGAAGACATATTCGGAGCCGTAAAATGTGTACATGACAAGGTGTCCTCAAAAAGTTCTGCAAGCAGATATCCTTTAATTTCTCAAAACTACTTAACATGAGTATTTCATCTTGATGGAGCATATTAATTTTACTCTGACTTGTGTAGATTCAGTAAAAATGCCAAGAAATACGTTCATGTAAACCAGAGATCTAACAGATTATAAATGGCTATGTGTTTTTCACCCATACCAATGGATGGGATTTACAACTTAATTTACATGAGAGTAAAAAGGCCCATGACAATCTGATGCACTAATATCACTGTGTAAATCCCATTGGAATGGGTGTAAAACCCATAGACTTTTTACAATCCGTTAGATCTCTGGTTTGCATGAACGTTCTTCAATGTCATTTTCACTAATTATACCCAAGAGTATATTAATATGCTCCATCAAGATGAAATACTCATGTTAAGTAGTTTTTGAGAAATTAAAGGATATCTGCTTGCACAACTTTTTTTGGGATTGGTCCTATCAATACATTTCGGTGTAATAATCCTACGAACGCGAGTGGAGCACAATACAAAATAGTGCGTTTGTGCTCCATGTGCAACGAATATCGTAACTACATGTATTCATGAAGTAAGATTTCAACACTAGTGAGAAGGCTTAACATGAGGCAACAATTAGTCAAATGGAAAGATAATCCAGAGTCAAGGAAGCCATACGGTTTATATGGCAGATTCAATCAAGAATATTTTTCTGCCTTTTTGGGCGAATTTCTCACCAGAATGGACGTGACAGTGTAAATGCGACCACTCATCGCGTCAGCAGGAGACTCGTCCTCAGTAAATGTATCAAAGGTGAGCCGATTCTCGTTCTGACCGTTCCATGTACCGACCTGTTTGGACACGAAACAGTCGTTGGGTAAAATGTCGAAGCGCATTAATAAATGAACGACAATATAATTGAAGTCTGATTAAAATGCATGTTAGAGTAGCAACTCGTGTCTAGACTTTGTTCAAGTCGCACTGCATGCATCATTGATTGATGCATAGTTGAAAATGTATAGAAAATGCCTCTGCATAATATTGCAAAATCCATGAATTGATGCATAGTTGAAAATGTATAGAAAGTGCCTCTACATAATATTGCAAAATCCATGAAAATTCAGACTTGTAGTGACAAGCTACATTAATTAAAGATTTCATGTATGGTATTCATGATATTTTTTTTCAAACTCCTTATTAACTCTTTTTTTTGCGAGGAGAAAATAGCACTCACCTTCTCAAGACCCGTTTGTCTCAAACCAAGGATTTGCACCGAGTAGTTGGTGCGATCACCCCGGCTGTCGAACTCGATGTTTCCAGTCAATCCCTGGAGTTTCACCTACATGGTAGAAAATAAATAAATATCCTACGATTAATAATGATTGCAAGGAACGGCTCTGTCTTCGCAATTTTTCTAAACTTCTCGTCTGTCAGGGCTTCATACATTATTCAAGAGAATAGACGAAAGCAGCAATTGCAATCTTAAAGGAATATCGCCTCTTCTTGCTAGGGTCACGCTCCAGAGCAGTACGGGCCAGATTTCAAATAATCATAGTTATGACCGATTGGGTGAAATGGATAAGCTTTATGTGAAAATATAATATGTACTGGCAATAATATTGTGATTTAAAGGGCCCATCCTAGCAATGTTATGTTTTAATGCAATCCTTGAAAATGCACCTTACGCGTTGTGTCCCATTTAACATTACATTGTATTTTCAATTTTCGTTTTGCCATTTTGCCTTTTTTTGTTCTAGTGCTAATGAAAATTTCCATATTCAGTAGCCAAACTGTGATGTCATTCCGGGCAGAAACCTCAATGCTACAGCTATTTTAGCACAAAAATTTGCTAGAATTTTGGATATTTTGCTGTTGTAAATTTTCTTGTCTTTGGTGATTCAATGTTGTGTCAATACATGTCAGTAAAAGGCCATTGAGCAAACCGTTCTCACAACTGTTTTCAATGAGCAAATTTTGGGTTCACAATTTGAAAAGAAAACCCCTAAACTAAACACTGTCCTGAAATGACATAACAGTAACAGCGCCCTCAATTGTCAGGAAAAGCATTGACATTTTTAATAATGTTTTAAAGAAGTGCACTTTTCAATAACATTAGCCAAAATGTCAAATAGTTTTTATGCATTTTAAAAGGTGTAGAAAGTTGCACAAAATGTCTTCCTAAGAACAATTCAGCGATGAACCCTTTAACAGCTATAAATTCAATTTTGAAACTGGATGCTTGTTTAAATGATGGAATTAATTCAACAGAGGCGCGGCAGGGCATAACTGAAAATTATAAGTATCAGAGGTTAGTGTATTATGACAAGTAAAAACAGAATCTTAGATATTAAATATTGGAGAGTCACTAACACTGATAAAATGTTCGTTACCAGGACGGCTATACCTTCTTAATGATCTCGATGAGTTTGGGTCCATCGCGGTTGGGCACCGGTGCGTACGACGTGCCCAGGTTGCAGCTCAATGCTCGTTCCTTCTTACGGACGCTGCCCCTCGAGTCAAGCCGAAACATATCCAGCGCCTCCAGAGCCACGTCCATCATGTCCACAGATATGGCCGGGTTGCTCTGTCGAGAGTAAAACCAGTTTCTGGTTATTATTCAAATTCTGAGCTTACAATTTGATAAAACTCTTAAGCTTTCAGGCGGTACACTTAAAAGTTACCGATTGACATTACAGCTAATCTTCAATGTGAAAGATCATTTAGATTGACACAATTGATGTTATTCAAGATGAATTTTGCGTCGGGGTGATGTAGCGTCAACATCGGGTTTTGCCCTTCACCAACATATATGTATAAACACTGTATACTCAGTGCGGTCCCAAGGGATTGTGACCAGAAATCCCTCGGTGAGACTCGAATTTACGACCTCCTGCTTACTAGTGCAGACGTCTTACCACTCGACCACCGGTGAAGGGCAAAACCCAATATTGAGTTTACATCACCCCGACGCAAATTCCATCTTGAATAGTTTGGTTTCGGTAACCCGCTGCTACATCAGATTTGAACCAGCCAGCCGCAAGCTCGGTGGTCGAGTGGTAAGACGTCTGCACTAGTAAGCATGAGGTCGTGGGTTCGAGTTCCAACCAAGTGATTTTTTTTCTCACAATCACTTGGGACAACACTGAGTATACAGTGTTTAGAAAAATACGTCGGTGAAGGGCAAAACCAAATATTGAAGTTATAACTGTTGTTGCTGATTTTTGCAAGCTATTGGAATTCGGTCCATGTATTGTTCTCTGAAAGCGTAACTTTCCTATCTGGCTATTAAAAGTGGATCAAAATATTTCGGTTTTTTTGTGTTGCATGAGAAGTTCTTCGTTTTAATATTCATAAACTAATGTTTAGTTGAGATTTTCATTTGCTTCCATGGTACAATCTGTCAACCTTGAATTTCAGAGATAAGGGAAAACAAAATTGAAAGACTTACCAGGTGGAAGTAATTGGTGTCCACCTCAATGTATGAAGAGTTCTTGACGTACGAACGCCAGTCCAGGATGAAGTCTTGGTAGGCGTCGCTGTCCTTGTCCAGGAGTCGGAAACCAGTGAGATTGAGGCCCCCTAGCTGGAACTGATTCATGTCAATCTCTCCGATGTCCTTTGAAATAATTCAAATCAAATATTTATAGCAGTATAGAAATATGTTAATATCACCAGTTTGAAAATGGATTTAAACAGAACTTGGGGCAACTTTTGGGTTCAGCGAAATATCAATTTTTGTTAAAAGAGATTCAACTGCGTCTTGATTATCTTAAACAACGAGTCTAATTGTTACTGGCTAATTACTTATGTAGGATCGGAGCCTTTGCCCTCCAGCATATAATAATGATAATGATTAAAACCATCCCGTGTTGACATTGCAGTTCCAGGAGATGCTGCGACTTCAATCACCCTCATGTTACTCCCCAGAGGCCCGTCACACCGCGTCGCACCATAATCGGCTTGCGCTTTATAACCGGGGAAATCTTCTTAAATATTCCGGGCACAGCACACCAAGCATAAAAACAGTCGCCGATGTCTCAGGAATGTATACGGCATCCATGCGATGAACTGGCCAGCTGCATTAATGTGTGATACTTTTAACTGTGTTGCAATATTCTGCTCTTTTTCCCCCTCATGCATACATCTTCGGCATCTCTTGGGCAGTTAAGCATGATTTTAAGGGTTTGGTGGGGGAGAAATGCACATGCACATCTTTACTTTAGATGTACTCACAAAGTGCACATGAAAAAAAGTGCTATTAAACGTGAAGTAATATTAATTTTCATATGTAATTGAAACTTATATGTGATGTTACTGAAAATATTTCTGTTTAATTCGAGTGGACAATTTATATCCTCAAAATTATCTAAAAACGTCTTGTGTTGTCCATGCAAAATGAAACAGCAAATACATACTTACCAAGTCCATGAATATATAGTGATATGACGCCGTCACCATTCCCAAGTCATTCGCCTGCAGCTGTTGGACAAAACAAAATGTATATTATTATTATTTTTTTAATATACCATCTATGACATTTTACATTGAAAAAATACCTTAGTTTAGGACCATGCTTTGAAAAAAAAATGAAAATATATTGAAAGCAGAATTGTTGGAAGAAAAAAAAATAGCGAAGAGTTTTGATGAACTCAAGTTATAACAAGATTATTGGTTGAAAAATAACTTCTGAGGGAAAGCCGTCAAACCTTTCTTAGTGCATTTTCCGATGCATCTAAGGACAGATCGAAGATGATGTGATGTCTTCCACTGTCTCTCATGTTCTTTAAGGTTTCAGTGATGGGCTCCTCCGTCAGTAGATGCTTGAAGATGACGTCATAGTCATAGCGCGAGAAAATCTGCATAAAGGTGTCTGCTCGTCTCATGCCTGAAAACAACATGCAACATAAGTTCCGGAGCAATTAAACGCAGTGAAAAAGGAGAGATTTATCTGTAGACTGAGAGAAAGTGCAATTGATAAAGAGTCAAAGATGTCTGACGCCATGGTTTCGATCAGATACATTTATACACTGTTTGATAATTACTTGTAAAACACAACTGGTATTTGACCCTTAAAAAGGGGAAATTGTTACTCAACTCTTAACTTAAGTGCCTGCGCATGGGCAGGGAAAAGGGGTGTTAATAACGACATTGGTTTCAGGCAAAGACTTTGATAACATTTACTCGCATTGTAAATTTTCTAATATGTAAATAAGAAATTATTAGTGGAGACATTGAAACTTGAAGAAACATTTTAATGGTTTGAGATGGCCCATAATTATCCAACCTCGTTTGCCGTCGTAGATGTAGGCAAACTGCTTCCAGCGGTTATACTCAAGCATATCTAGCAGGGGCTGGACCAGGGACGGCCGGAGGGACACCACGTAGTCGAACTCCATGTCTGGGAAGGACTCCTTCAGGGCAAAACTGTCAGCAAGAGGTTGGGAAGGATGTCGGTTTTATGATTTTACACCACTGACCGTCGGAGCTATGTCAGTTTTGATGCTAGACAACAGGTACTTGAAATTTGTACAACTTTAAAACTGAAAAGGTGAGTCATTTTGCTCAAATTAACAAAAGACGTTTAATAGATTAAAGGAAGATGTGTTAAAAAATGAACTTGCTTTTTTGCTACATGAATTTAAATTATTGACTATGGTCTGGGCAAAGATCTTCCTTTTAGGTTTCCAAGCTAATGTGATTGACCTTACCTATCATGAAAATGTGTTATATTTCGGGGGGGGGGAGGGGACGGTAATGCCTACCTTGGAGTAATGAATGGGAGTTGTATCTTCTGGCTGGTCGTGGCAACCATGTTGACGACGTCAAAGTCAGCCACGCCCACAATGAGAGAGACATTGTAGGCCAGCAGCACGCACACTGAACAAGAAGCATCAAGAACGTTTCAGTTATGCCAGGATAACGCCATGGGGCAAAACCTTGTAAAAACTTACCAATTTTAGTCGCATAAAAGAAAAGCTATCTTTTGGAAAATCTGTCCCGACTTCATAATTTGCCTCCTCCAGTTTCAGCACTCCGATTCCCAATTAAATTGACGACTCCTTAGGGTGCAAAGTATCGATACTTGCATCATATAATAAAAACACTTTTGTTTAAACTAAGGAAAATTGTCTAAAATTCTATAAGAAAAGGGCAGCAGACTCTCGCGTGAATACAAAAAAAACCCTGTCAATTCCCGATCACGTGTCAATTGACAATATCACCCAGGAACTTGGCAAACCAAAAAAAAATGCTTGGAGAGAATATTTGCTTAGCAGCAAATGGGTTGCCAGCCAGGATATCACATAATTTCCCTTGCTTGTGACTAGGTTCCCTGATTGTTTCGATTAAGCATGTGCGTAGGGCCAGCACGGCACCAGTCTCCGATAAGCAGCTCCGAAAACACTGGCCGCAGGTGCTGTACTTGTACTTGTGCTGTTCATAACCTCTTTTCCAGACTGTGTATATTTGGTTATTGCCTCATAGCCATTACCGATGATTGTTTTCACAAAGACACATGCGGTTCATTGCCTATTATTTTTCACTTGTTAAAACAGCATTAGCATTTGAATTTGCTTATTGAATGTACCAGTGTACGTCTCAGTAAAGTGTCCAAATTGCGGAAACGCTGTATAAACCATGAAGTGACGTCGCTCGGGGGGGGGGGAGGACCAAGTAAGACTATACTTAGATGCCACTTATGTAGAAAAAAGTTCGGGTCCCTGAGTACAATTCCGAGATGCTTGCAGACGTGTCAGGGATGACTGGGGGTTAGAGCATAGAGCTGTGTGGATATAGCGAGGGTAATTGATGCCAGCGTGTCCCAGAGCTGAGATGTGCCGTCACCTCACCCGGGGGCTGCATGATGAGCCTTGCGATGCAGGTGTCAAAGTTAGATTTCCCCAGGCTATAGGTCAATGGAGGCTGTACCATCACACGGCTGACTAGAGCTTCAGTATCATAATAATTACATGGGGGAAATACCCTCCCAAGTAGACAATTAATTCTTGTAATTAAAACAGTTATTGTTTTCATCGCCCTCAATTTATTTAGTCTGCTGTGAATCTGACGTTTGCGTTTGCAATTTTTGTGAGGATGTGACATTGTGTCGTTTTTAAAAATACTTTATGGGGGTCATCAGATTAACACCAGATTGTGTAATACAGTGAGACTCATTACAAAATAACAATTAATGTGTGATAAAAAGTTTTGAAACCCCAAATCGAGCGAATCAAAATCGAGCGAATACGATTTTCGTTCAACCATCATTCTGTTTCAAAACAACAGCTCCTTTAGTGTTTACAAGTGTGGCTCTGGTACATTGTTCTCCGGAGCGGAACCTACGTAAATTGACCACCCACGTAAACGAAGAAATGCTGCCATAAAGTGTGTACATACAATGGACTTTACAATGTTCATCTGAATTCCAGCAGTGTAGTATAGATTTGAAAAAATATTTAAGTTTTTTTTTAATTATAATAAATAATCTGGTAATTTTTGAAAACAAGTTCATTTATTGAATACTCAACCAGATCGAAAATTGGAACAGATTTCCAATTATTCTGTCTATCTTCACTTATCTTGACCCTGGCTACTCTTTACAACCCAGGTATTGCCAATATCATCCACCCTTTAAGTCCGTACATTACACATGCATGCACAGGGCAACGCGTCGTGCCGGAGCAGGGTGTTAGAACCAACACTACACTTGTGTATTTTGCCCGCTCAACCTGCAAAGCAGGGGAAATAAATTGAATACCTTAGTGGGTCTAATTAAATTGACACCTCTACCAAAGTAATGACAGCACAGTATTCTTAAATTCGTAGGACCTTGTCATGGTAGGCAATTTATTAGAAAAATTATTTTGAAAAAATGTCCGTAAAAAATAATGACAGGTTAAATTTTCATCCCTGTAATATTATCAGTATTTTCACAAATGTCAAAGACAGAGTTTACTTTGGTTTTTTTTCCTAAGAGGTTAATTTCAAGTGTACTTCGTTGCCTTCCAACTGCCTGTGAAAACTGCCTCGTGTAACTTTGCCATAATGAGTTGATGTTGCACAATATTTCTATAATTAATAATTGGTGGGGTTTTTTTTCAGGAGAGGACCTACTTTTCCGGAGTACGGCAGCATTGTTCGCTAGCTTGGTGTGCTGTAGACGGGCTGCGGCGTGGAACGGACGGAACGCCGACGAGTTGCTGCGGATATTGTTGCGTATGGCGGACTGGACGAAGATCATGCGTTCTGGGTTAGGTGGAGGCCCGTCACCGAAAATACCACCTAGGTAAGAAGAAAAACCCAACATAAAACAAGAATTTAGCTTGTAGCTGAGGTTTTGTGTAGATTACATGGAGTTCATGTGCTTCAAAACTGAGAGCGGGGGATGACAGTACAGAACTGTGTATCTTAAAAAAAAAATAATATTGTACATGGATTTATGTTTTAAAATTGTGTCAAATTTATGGGTTTTTCCTAAGTGGCGGAAATTGTGGTCGCATATGAAGAATATAGTCACTATTAAGAATAAAACAACAACAAAATTAAACCTAACTACGTTTACAGGTAAGTTAACGAACAATTTTGTGTTCAGAACGTATATTTATTTTTCGTCTGACCGTGAATAAACTGTGTACCACTCTTTATATGACTAATAAAGTAAAACGTATAACATTGTTATCAGAATCGTTTTAAATAACCACGAATTACTGCATAATGAAATATTCACTAACAAATTAACGTAGTTCGTGGTCTTTTTCAACCCACTATAGCCGTGCCTTTTATCAGGTCGGATAATACAATAAAACCCAATGTGACTCTGAAGATCTGGACATGGTAAACATGTGTTACTTTCAAAATAACCACCCAAAACAAACATAAATCAATAGAACGGTTCTTAAAGTGAATTCACTCACCAATACTGTAAAACTCCACCGCCTTGCATGTCGAAAATATCACCGCAATAGGCAGTACCAGTAGCATTACTCCACGCATAGCGAGTGCCTTCCTTGCTGTCTACCGTAGACGAATAAAGTTACGTGATTCCTTATCAAACTGCCGTTAGGTCTTTTTCAAAAGGAAGCTTTTGAGCTGGATGTACATGGAAGTTGAGGTTTTATTGACGAGAATTCAAATTATGGATCCAGGAAGTAGCATCTTTTGGCGGGGTTTTGAAGATTGGTGTCAGATGACCCGCGCCGCATCATCTAAGCAACCTGCTACGGGTTATGAGAAAGCACCATCGCTGCCTGGCCCACGAGGTTTGGTATTTGATGTCTGCAAATCACGATGGGACAGAACGAGAGAGGGGAAAGGCAGAGAGGTTTCATCTCATATATTATTCAGATGGTAATTTGGTCAGTAATGCGCAGCGGATACTGTAGACGCCGATGATGTAGCAAGCCTGAACGCCTTCGCCCTGCACGCGATGAGCGATGTTATGGATGTGCGCTGCTCCGTAGTCGGAATTGGACCTGGATCCCTGTGGGAGTTCAGACTATCACGCAGCTAAAAGGGATGGTTGTAAAGAAAAAATCCAAATTTTGGAAAAACAGTTCGAAGTGGTGATGACTAAAGTCAAAAAGCCAGCCACAAGATAGTAATTTCTTGACAAATAAGGCCGAATTGCCGACCTAAAACTTCGAAGAATCAAAGCTAGTCCTCTTTTACGTTGAGGAAAATCTCTGACTTTCCTTAATTTGATAATATCCCGAGAAAAGATGAGATGATTATGCTCCCAATATTGGTGCCTGTCTTCCTCATAGTCTTGCCTATAATGCTGTTTACCACATACATCGAAGTATCATGTTCACAAGCAAGTGAATTTTGATGAGAATATTTAAATTGTTTTGAAAGCTGGGGAAATGTTTCAACCATGTGGATATTTTCTTAATAAGTTTTATCATCAAGCGTTTATAATCGTAAGAGAATTCAGCGACATGTAATATGAATTAGAAATAAATTTCCAAAAGCGACCCTCTTCAAAACTGTATTCGAAAGCTCATTTAACGACTCGGTGACTTACAAATCTTCTTTACTGAAAAATTCAACAACGCAATCACAGAGCGAAAATGGGACAAATAAACCATTACATTCACACAAGGATTCAGATTTGCATAAGTGACAGACGATCTTTTGGCGGGAAATTAATCTCGCGTGGCGGGAGCGATCGCTGGCAGAAAAGCGCGAGAAAAAAAATAAGGCAAAGGTGTGAAGCGCATGCCCGTGTCTTCCATTAGCGCCGATACGGTTCACTGACACTGATAATGAGCATTACCTAAAGGCAATCAAAATGCAGACGCCGAAGCAATATGCATATTATTCGCATTTACTACCCATTTAATTAGCCTAATCATAAAAATCACAAAAATTAAAATGTTATAATACTCCTTATATCGTTAAAATATAATAATACTTCCTATCTCACTCGCATCTCATCCTATACAATAAAGATCGAAATGTCTTATTGCATTGCTCAAATCATGACTTCAAATGTGGTCAAATTATATACAAAAAATACTAATTCAATTTTCCTACTTCCTGAGAAACTGATTGCTTATCTATACTCTAATTATAAAAAAATTTAAACTCACACAAGAAGAAGAAATATTAGTAACATTAGTTATTATACAAACTGGTACGATTACATTTTTTTAATGTATGTTGAAAGTAGGCGCTAGACAAATTTAGTATGCGACTTATAAACAGCGCCGCCACTGTGTGTGCTGTCAAAAGACAAAGACTTCACACAGAGATTAACAAAAAATGTCATGGGTTACCGGCTGACTGTTTTTTTGTGAGTGAGAACATTAAGGTGATTTATGTAATTTAATGGCAATGAGTTACTTGTTTTGCTCTTTGGAAACAGAGTTATATTCGAAATATCAGCACTCGGTTATCTTTTCACCACACCTTTGCTACAAAGCTTCGCACCAAATTTTCGGAATCATAATAAAGCAGACTCTCTCATTAAGCTGGAGTCGGTCTACGTGACTTGTTTTCCTGATTCGAGTCACTTATTATGCAGAACAAAAACGAGTAAAAATGTTTGCCTGATTAATGGAGAAAATGAATTCGTTGTTTTGCAAATGTTTTTACGGCTCCGGCAAAATGTAAGTCCAAATTTAAAAACCAGTTTGGGCTATGATGACTGTTCGACCTCAGCGATCAAATCCTCTAAACCACCGCTTGTAACTGTCACGTAGTAAGCCCAGTAGATGATCTTCAGCAAGACAAAAACCAACGGGAAAAACCTCCGGGAGTTCATGTCCACTTTGCCCGGATCTATGCCGACCTCACCGAAATCGGCGCAGTTTGGTCCGCACATCTCCTCGCATTTGGTCATATCATGTTGGTCTCTCCAGGGCGTGGAGGGTGACTTGGAGCTGGGCTTGGCGGGAGGTGAGCCGCGCTCGGCGGCACGGATGTAGGAGCAGCGCCTGGCGCCGCCTCGGTTGATCATCTCGGCACGGGATAGGTTGGCTTCCTTCAAGGCGTTCTCGTTGACGAAGGTTATCTCCTGAGACGAAAAGTTGGTATCAGGTACAATGTCTTCATACTTAAATCAGAGACCTTTTCCCCGAACAGTGGCTTGCTTTGTTGACCATAACCAACTACTGGTTGTATCAAATCTTAAAAATTTAACTTTGAAATTCCAAACTGACACAAAAGGAACCCGTCACAAAATTAATTTAAAACTTCGCAAGTCAAAACACATGGGATTAGGGACATATTGGTATCATAATTGTGTAAGAAATAACTGTCCCCTTGCAAACAGCGCCCTCACTGAGGATAAATTTTTGCTATTTAAATTCAGTTACAATGAAGTGCAAAAGGTCTACTCATGCGTATTGAAGAGGAGTACAGACCTGTCCTCATACAGTGAGGGCGCTATATGCATGTCTTAAACTACCTTCTAAAAATAGTTGCAATCATTGCTTTGTTGTTTGTTTTGCTTGTTATTGTTTGTTTGTTTATTTGTGTATTTTTTATACTCACAATCTCATCCCTCCTTTTATCGACGCTGTAGACACTACTGGGTGAGCCGGAGCTCTTGGACGCCGGCGAGTTGCCGTTTTCTGCCCTCTCCTTCATCCGTTGACGCGCCTCCTTGAAAGACGGCTTCTCGTAGTAGCTGACCAGGGCGAACTCCAGCAGGGCCGCAAAGACGAAAAAGTAGCACATTTCGAGGTAGAGATCTATGGCCTGCGAAGAAAATGCATAGAAATCCGACCGTGAACAAATCAAAAGAGGAAGAACTGAATGGTTGCGGATCGACATGCTATAATTATATTAAGAACATAATGGAAAATTAAATCCCCAAACGTGTATGTTGAAGCAAAAAACCTCGTGGTACCTGAGACATAAGCAAATATGTTTATCCGTCACTGATTCGGGGAACAAGACCAAGATGTCATCGGGAGACTGGTTCATTTGAAATATACAATCTTAATTTATAAACAACATTTTGTGGTCTTGTGGGTGAAAACGTACCACTTGTGAATCAAGGTGCCCAAAAAGTACAATCACTTGTTGTTATCTTCAACTTTTTAGTTTCTCTTTATTCTATGAAACTTATCTTTTGACACTTATTATTCTATGACAACATCCCATGAATTGATACAGCTGCTTGATGAAATCAACGATAAGACTTTCAATGGATCCAGAGTTTCGTTTAGGGATCTCCAACGACTACTCACCTTGATGTAGGATAGCTTAGGCAGAGAGGAGCCAGCATTACCAATCAGCGTGGTCATAGTCAGCACCGTGGTGATACCCAGAGCCGTACGGGCCGGCGTGGAGGAACGAGGGATCCAGAATGACACCCAGGAGACGATGACAATCAGGGTAGCCGGTAGGTAGACATTGATCAGGTAGTACGAGATCTCACGGCCCAGGTAGAAGTCCGCTATCAGCTGGGAATAGTTCCCGACTGCGAGGGACGAAGGGAGGGATTACATGGATTACAATTAGTTTGTGGCGTCATGTCAAGAAATGTGATTTTTTTTCAAGATCATTGCAGGCTCAATCCTCGGAGGACAAACCAATGAAGATGACAAAGTATACTGCTCGAAACGTCGAGTTAACCAGGTCTTTTCAGAACCATGCACACAAACTCTCTAAAAAAATATTTCAGTAGTAAAACGAACTAATAAGTACCGGGTACTCGGTATATATAGGTTTTAAACTGATTGACAAGTTTAGAGAAATCATACCTTAACATGATGGCGGCTTGAAAGTTTTGTCTCCAAAATAATCATGGTCTTTTCGGCCTTTTTCTCTTGACAGGGAATTTTTTAAAATGAATTCAAAACTCCGTATCTTAGACGGGTCGTTTTTATATTAAAATGTAAAGGGTATTAAAACTAAATTCGAAATCGGATATTTTATTTAACATGCCGGCCTACGCGGCATTTTTTTGGGGGTAGACACTTGCACGTGCGTGCGCGTTTTATGAAATCGTGTAACCCTTTTTTTCTCGTAACTATAATCAGCCCGTTTGATTTGAACTGCGAACGAGTATACAGCTTGAGGCGTACGATTTGGGGCATACTTTTAAAAATTTCAAGCATTCATTTTTGTACTGAAAAAAACTGAATAACTTAACCATAATGTTGACCAAAAGATTCTCATTTTTATACCCGCATCCTAATGCATTATCCGGTTGGGCATGAATTGTAATTAATAGCGTCCACTGGCGCTATTATAAATTGATTCACTTTACGATTTTGCCACATCGTGGCGTCATTTCTCCAATGCACCGCATGTATAATTAATACAGCGAGGGACCTTTGTGAAGCGGACACCACAGCGTCAGCCCGTGGGGGGCCGAGGCTCGATCCCACCGCCTGATGCTCTGCGCCTGAGACGCCCTCAAGTGTAGACGTGCCGTGCTTCTAAAATCATTGAATAATATGTATCTGTTCTATCCTAGATTCCATTTAAAATTGTGTTCATTTCGTGGTGATGACGGGAAATCTGGTTCAGTGTAAACTTGTTTATGGCAATAGAAAAGAAAAGATATATTCTGCCAGGATTAATCGTACTTGCAAATACTTGAAACTCTTAAACAGGCTCCTGTTTTTGACCTCATTTAGGTTTGTATTAATTTGTGTTGAAGGATTTTTTTTTTTAACATTGTGTCATCATAGCGAGGTTCTTTTAATCGGAAATCCTAATCAAGGCAGATGTTAGAAAAAGGTCGAATCCACAAATGACTCACGGAACATACATGTAGGCCTATGTAATAACTTATTCGAATCAGACTCTATGGTCAGGGGTGATTACCGTAGTACTGCGCCGTGTTGGCCCGCTGACTGCTTCCTAAGAATTGGAACTGAGGCAGGGTGACGGCCTCGTCGACGTAGATAGGTCCGGATGGGATCCAATAGTAGTGGACCTGATTGTCGCTATATGCATCTGTGGGGAGAAGAGAGGACAACAACGTGTGTGATGTGGATGATGTGGTTTTGATGCTGAGGAGGATGGGGTTTTGATGAAGATGGAGATGAGGTAACCATGAGTGTGATATGAGGTGGAAAGGATGGGAGGATGTTTAGGCATTGATTTTTGATGGTGACATGATGCTGACGGTGATAATGACAATCTTCTGTTGATGAAGATTCGGTGATGTCAAATAGGCTATTTCTTAACGAAAGAGGGCGCTGTACATATATTAACGACGCCATTTGGGGGTATAAACAGACTTGAATCCAAATGATTGAAGAAAGTTTAAATGTTGATACAATAAGAAAAACTATCCCAATATTTAATTTTTGTATTTAATTAAAGTTAACAATCTCCTTCAATACACAAAGTTTTTCGGCGGTTTTTCCCAAACATTTTATTGTTAAGAATGTTGAGAACACAAACATTTTTCTTTCATTCTTTCGAATTGAATTATAGGTACTTCCAAAATAAAGGTTTTTTTTTTACTTACAGCTTTCCATGGTGAGTGAACACCGTTGCTTGTCCATTGGAAAGAAGGCTAGATCCATGTAACAGCTGGCCGTAACAGTCAACCTAGGAAAACAAAATTTTCATTGTAAGTTTAGGCCTAAAACACATATCGACTCACGTATGGTAACCCATGTTAAACGATTAAAACAGAAGATCAGCCCAGCTCTTGTTTTGAGTGTCTACAATGTCAACACGAATTCTATTTAAAAACTGCTCACCAGATATTGCATTATGTTTAAGCTTAGACTTTTAAAGGTGTAATACCGACCAAAACAATTTATTGAGGACAATCTGTAAACGCCCTCTATCGTTAGCAATCTCACCTAGTGCTGTACAGTATGTTCCCGTTCTGTTCGATTCGGATGAGCGTGTTCTTGTACAGGATGGTATGGAACTTGGCCGACTTCTCATTGACAAAGTACGTGTCTGGTACCCAGAGTCGATCCACCATCTCCGAATTGAGCGACAGCACGGTGACGTCACCCGTGAAACGCAGGCGCTCATCAATCCACTGCTGGCGGAAGTACATGTCTATTGTGTATTGCTGCAGTAGAAAAGAAATTTAAAATTAACAAGTTGTTCTTGGCTCTTTTTAAACAAATCCTCTTAGATGTTTCTATGTAAATATTAAGAGCACGTATAGGGACCTCCTGTGACTAAGGGGGGGGGGGACTGAAGCTTCAAACCGCATCTTGTAATGTGTGTCATTGCTGATTATTCAATTAAGCAGCCAGCTAAATGAGAAAATTAACATTCCGAGATATAAAGAGAAATTACAGAAGCAGTTACCATTTGTGACTCAGTCACTGGGCCGACGCTGTAGACGTACATACTGATATTTACAGGAACCGAAGGACCTGTAGATATTAAAAATTAAACATATTACATTATAATACTGTAATTAAGTGGTCATTCAAAAAGTTGTTGCGTGGTCATTTTCCTATTTTAATGAAACATCTTTCGAATGTGTGTTGCATAGCGCAACTGAAAGTGCATTATGCAAAGGAAATATTTTAAACGTTTGGAGAAAGGCACAAAGCAAATTATTTGTTAAACAAGCACAATATACAACCGTGATACATTTGTTTTGGTTTTTCCATACACATGTAAACTTTGTATGCAAAGTTCACCAGGGATTTTTTGTCGGCGGATGGGGGGGGGGGGGGGGAGTGAGGACGGCGTTCTATACTTTTTTTTTCTCATGTACCGTTAAGTCTCAATGCATTGACTGTATACGTTCATTAGTGAGAGAAGATCGATTCGGTTATCATTCGAGCAAATACTGCCCTCAGGGTAAATTGGTACTCGTACCGAGAAAGATCGATATGTCTTTATTCTGTGCCATGTTTTATCCCTCTGCCGGGTGGGATAGAATCGATTCTTTTGGGTTCCGTATAATCGATAAAAACTTGTTAGTAGACTGAAGCTGAACTCCTGAAGTCTATATATACATCATGTCCACGTGGTGCCAATCTAAATTGATAGTCTGGTAACGATTCCGTTCATAAACAAAATAAGTACTTTAATGCAGTCGTTACTTCAGGGAACAAGACAAAAAGTGCTAACGCGGGAAAAGCGCATGTCAAGGAACAATGGTCATATTTACTGTTCATGGACTTTAGAATTTAACTCCTTTTACACTTGTCTCATAATTATTAATTATTAACACGATATTTTTGCCTTATTTAATCCCATATGCCGACAAAACTGCAATTAACAATAAATCGTCTTAGCTAGAACGTAGGCTAGAGGAGTTTTCTTTCAACTCGAAATCTACGTTGAATTAATAACCGATAATTATTGATATTATGTTGTCTCACCTCCAAAGTTTGGTCGTAGCCTCTTATCGTAGCCTTCCAACAGACCGTCCAGAAGAGCAGAGACATTCTCCGCCCTTCTCGATGCAGTCAACTCATTGGCACTGAGAAACAAATATTATTTAAACGAGTTGTTTAAATTTGAAACATAATCAATGCATCAAGAGCACCAAGATGATAAACGTATGCAGCGGTTTTCATTGGTATTGACGGAAGCTGCAGCATTTCTTTTGATAAACTTTCGCTTTAGTGCTCAGTAGTCCTACCGCTTATATTTGGCATCGTGTGGAAAGCCTACGTAACAAATAAGACATCTTCACCCAATGATCAGTGCCGGATTTAGTGTTCCGTATAGGCCCTAGGCACCAGAGTGTTCCGTGGGCCCTATTCTGCACTAGGCACAAACACAAATTTCATGTTGATGCTAAGGCGAGCCATCAGATAACAGACCGTTCGGGTACCGGGTCCGGTATGCTAATTTCTTTCACCCCAATCGGTACGAAGCCAGAAGCCACCCGGTCACTGAAGCGTGACGCCCCAATCGGTCCAAACTGGTGACTCAGGGTTTCACAATAGGCAACATAAATTGAAGTCTGGCCATTGTTGGAGGATTATTCGGCCCGCTCGGATTACCAGCGGCAACTTCTATGAAGCTCATCACAGCCATTGTTGCCTACTGGAGGATTAGCGCGTCGCAAATTGGTTCCTTTGTGATGAGCCAGAGCCATGGTGCAGAAGCCTGGTGGAGTTAATCCAGGCCGATCGGTTCCATGCAAGATCCCAATCCCTTCAACATACTGGGCGGGCTCAACCCCGAACGGTCTGGGGAGGGATTCTAATTTGAGGGCTCGCCTAAGCTGTACTAAGCAAGCCAGTCCAAACTGGTAGCTCTAAAAGCCAGTTGGCATACAGTGGTATGTTTCGTAGGCCCTCATTTTTTTGCGTAGGCCCAAGGCACAGTGCTTACTGTGCCTATTGGATAATACGGGCCTCTAGTGTAACGGGATGCGTTTAACTTGAACCAATAAAAAGGTGAAAGCCGTACCACTGTAATTTTTTCAAAGGGTAAAGTTGAGACTGAGTAATGCCACTTTATTGGACTTTTAGGAGAATTAGTCTTACCTTTCGTCAGCTTGGATGACTGAAGCAAACAGGGAAAACACACAAGGACAGATGACGAAAGCAAGAGTGAAGAGAAAGCGCGCCATTTTGACACACCCGAGTACATTCTTCACTGACACTGTTATGTAGGAAGCTAAACGTGTGTGCTGTAAGGCAAGGCCTTTGAGCAAATCGATAATAAAAAGCATTCCAACAATGGACATATTAGAATTGAAGGAATGTATTCTGTCTTCGCTACATCCCAGCTATTCGAATTATTGATCTCAAGTCACAAAGGAAATCGAAGAAACATTCTTGTAATCACGCAAGAACTTTGTTCGTATGTCTTATGCTTGAAAGTAAAAGACACTGCAAATTTTTCCACGTGTAGTCAAGCATGTCGCCTAGGAATTTCTTATATCTGAATTTCGTGTGTGATGAAAGCAATTTCTAAGTACGTCTCCCGGAATATTTCAGCCATTTTTCATATAGCCTTACGAACATTATTAACACCACTTGCGAAAAATCTAAACGCAAAATGCCCGACGCCTGCCGAGCGCGCGTCGTAGAAAGGGTTGCCCATCAAAATGTGACCCTATGTAGAGAAGAGATGAAGAGGAAATTAATTGACTTTTTTGTTTTAATCCCGTGGTTGAATTGACAATGAGAAAAAGGGCCATGAAAGGAGCGCAATTAAAAAGCAAACACTCTTACTAACCAATAAAACATAGCCAATTCTTTGCGGAAAATGAACACACGGAATTGCGAACTTTATTTTCAATGTTTCGCAAGATTAGTAAAAGGTTTTCCACGGGGAAGGGGGGGGGAGAACTATTTTGGAAGGAACTTTGCCAGCTGGAAATCTGTATTTCCTGGCAAAGGGAAACCTGCAGGTTATGCTCAGTTACAACTTTTGTTACAAATTAAATTAATTATTAAAGAAATGTAATTACAGAAAACAAAAATGCACTATACAACGATCATAAATTATTGTTGACATACACTTTACATCGACTGTTTTCAGACAATTCAGAAGAGACGAAACACAAGCACGTTTGCAAAATTGTGAAATAGGGAAAAATAGGGAGCAACATCTCTCTCAACTTGAATTGAGGTTTTATCCTATTTTCTCCAACTTTTGGTTCAACATCTACTTTTTAAACCTCTTGATATTTGTTTTCTTTACACATTATAGATTGATACACTCCAAAGCATGTCGAATACTGCGATTTGATTGGTTTAGATCAGGGAATAGCTTCAGAATATTTACAATGATTTACCACATCTAAATATGCACAACCGACGGCTGTTTACAGACCAACTCGGGCCCCCTTTAATGGAAAAAGCACTGTGCTAGCTATTGTGCGAAGCAACCACCTCATGGCGGATTATTTGACCAATAGCTTGCAAGATGCTTTCGCCATGGAAGGGGGCCTCCGCGAGTCCGGATTCGACTGTACCTTCACATACAGAAAAATTGAATACAACACGGCTCCCAATACCATACGGGAATTTCATGACAAATTTCAAAGATTATCAGAACACGGATATCGATATGCACACACTCTTTACATTAAAACACGAAACTTGACTTTTCATCACCCGAAATGTTAAAAGTAAACGTTAGTTTTCTCTATTCATTATCAATGTTCTTTATCGATCACAAAAATAAACAAAAAACACAAGACAAAAAAATCCCCAAAATGCACTTTTCAAAAATCCCATTATACATTTTCTCATATCGTACGAAACCCTTCTAGAAAGCAAATTGCTTATATCCCAAGTATTTATTTTGTTTTTGAGAATTCATAGAAGTAACAAATTGTCCTCAAATATGACAAAACATTGTGCGTTGGCCGGGAGTCGAACCCGGGTCAATTGCTTGGAAGGCAACTATTCTAACCCCTATACCACCAACGCTCTATAGACGCTGGTGCATGGTGTTTATGAACTGAAATTCATACCGTTTTCTTGCATTCACTGGATGAATTTTTTTTTTTCAACCAGAAATTTTGCTAAATTATTTGGATCATAAACTAACAAGAAATAACTAAAATAGGTGAACCTTAAAGTAAGCGTGTTAGACTTAAAGTCATACAACATAATGTGCTTCAAATTTTTTACATAAATCGTTATAATTTTTGTACGCTCTGCATTCAATTTCCGGGCAATTGTATTGCATATAAACTGTTGTAACTAATGTATATTGCATGAACAGTTAATTGCATAAAGACAGACTTCCTGACAATGACCTTTATTATACATGCATTTACAATTTATTCTAACAATGTATTCACAAAATAGAAAAATGTGCATTTAAATGAATCTCGTCGTTACAATGAACCGTGCATTTATTTCACTTGTTTAGAATCAGCTTCACTTTGTGCAGTTTTGATTTTTGTTGAGTTTGACAAAGACATTGAAATGCGAGACTCTATATACATTCTCCCAGAGAAACAGGGGGCTGCCATCTTGGCTTCTACACCTCCGTCTGGCTACCGTCCTTTGGTTCGACTTTTGGCTTGTCCACTGGCGTTGTCTGAAATTACCAGAATGAAATTCAAAATTATTTCGTATCTATTTCCCTTAATTAACACAGTTTACAAAGGGACGAGTGAATTTTTTCAGGTGATGTTTACTGGTTAATGATTTCACTTCAAGAAAATTGAGAGCCGATTTGTCTTGCCTCTGTGTCAGTGCTGGGTACGGATGCGTTTGCCTTGGGGTGTAGCTGCCTAGCAAGGTCGGCATTCTCGCCCGTCACAGACAGGCGTACCTTGGCCCGCATCGCCGCAGCTAGGCTCGTCTGTGCGGAGTATAAAGAAAGAGACAAAATAATGGTAAGAATGTATCTATTGTTGACGACCAGAACAATATGACTGAAACGTTAAGTAGAACCATTGGTTCTATTAAAGTGCTCACTGTAAAGCCAGACACAGTATGGCTGTTCGAAGAGGGAGCTAAAAAAACCTCAAAAGTTCAGAATGACCATTCCAAAGAATACAAACCAAATCATATCCGCCATAGACAAATAGTACGTCTGATATTTACAAAGATAAGTATCAAGATATCAAATTTACTTTTTCATGTTAATTTAGTTTCTGTACCTTTTGTTTACGGGACTGTGATCTCGACTTCCAGTAAAACTCCATAATAGCCGACATGAGGGCCAAGGCTAGACCCCCGACAAGGATGTAGAACACGCCGGCCACGTTACTCAGGCTCAGAGCATTAGAGCCAGAATCCTGAAAATAAAATGGTCAGAAAATTTCAATAGTTCTGAGAAAGTCTTCGGTGGAGTCAAACTCTATTTTTTATGGGGGAGTACATACCGCGTCAGCTTCGTGGCACTGGCCCTTGTCGAACCACCATCGTTTCTTGAGGGCGTCTAGCACCCCCTCCTCCCTTAGCTGCAGGATTGCGAGGGTCAGCTCATCGCTGAAACAGGCAATTGGAAAGAAGGAGGATGATTAAAAACGTGGGATAAAAGAGGGTTGGTTTATAATGTTGGTAATATTTAACTTAGCAGAGTTAGGCGCATGGTGTCATAGTAAGGCAAATGACGCATTTCGTTAAGTGTTTCGTACGTTACTCCTTCTAACTTTAAATGTTTGGGCATATTGATGTTTGGAGAGTGGCCTTTTAGGGTTTTATTTGCAGCAATCGTTGGGGAATCTAAAATTTACAAAATACAAATAACAATCGTTTTATTTGCTAAGGAAGTCTAAGCAATCGAAGCAATATGTCTATAGCTCAAGGACATAAATACCCGTGCTTCGTCTAGTGGAGTTCAAACCAACATCCCAACCACTTACTATAAACCCAAGATGAGCCTAAACTACCTCAAAGTGACATAGAAATGGAATGCAACATTGTTATTCGTTTGCAGTGGAAAAACTAGATTACCTGAATCTCGTGAGATTTCGCGAGACACCGATGCCGTAGCTCTTGGAGTCCAGGTTCTGGCCCACCTTCAAGGTATCGCACGGCTTCTGCTGGCTGAAGTACTCGTTCATCGTGGACTCCATCAGGAAGGCAAACTTGCCATTCATGTGGCGCAGTCTCTCCAGGCCTTGGTCGTTGGTCGTCATCAGCACTGCCCGCTCGGTGCTGTTCATGTAGTTCCACATGTCCATGTACAGAGGGATTTTCGATTGCTTTGGGAACAATGAAAGAAGGATAGTATGGATTCCAATAATAAAGAGGATAACGATTGCTGTATTTGGAGCTGAAGCAAGTTTGTGATCAAGCTTATAATCACAGTACTTTGTTAACCCCAAGGAATATTTTGATAATAAAAAGCATGTTACCAGGTAACTACTTGTTATCTACTAATTTACGCTAAGCTAATTGGGCGACAATCCGTCAGCAGTCTTTATTATTCAATAATGTTTCTTGCTGTTAAAGCCCAGATATGCCTTGTGTAAAAAACCGCTATGCTTCAATTTTAGTTATATGTTAGACAGTTGTAATGTTCTCGTCTCAATTAACTTATATTCGAATCTTCGAGTTTTATTATAACATTCTAAAGATTGAGCTTGTCTCCTACCTCTTAAACGAAATATATCATAATCGTCTAGAACCGTATTACAAGCGTCTTTTACATGCATCTTTAATTCATTGTCCATTCCAATTTTATGATGTGCTCCTAGATATCTCGTCTTTGTTTACTGAGTGTTGTTACCATGAATTCATCTCACCCTAAAGAACTCCTCTGTAGAGCCAGCTGCCACCATCCCGTACGATACATCCTTACTGGCCACCAGGTCTTCAGCGGACTGGATGTCGGTCACCATACGCTCTACCGTCAAGAAGGCAGCCAGGTTGGCCGTGTAGGAGGAGATGATGATCAGGGTGAAGAACCACCATACTCCGCCCACGATCCGGCCAGACAGGGACCTGAAGGATTAGGAATTTTTGGTAAGACCTAAAAGGTTATAGTCTATAAACATAGCAAGTCAGTGGCGCACCCAGGATTTGGTTGGGGGGGGGGGGGTGCTCAAAAAATGTTGCCCAAAATTTTGGGGGGTTTGGGGGGGGGAGGGGACTATTTTGACGTTGGTGGCGCCACTTACACCCCTATTATTCTACTCGAAAATAGGCCACATACGTATCATCAAGGTAAAATCGTGGGACAAAAAAAAATGACAACCTCTTGGGGGGGCTCAAGCCCCCTGCCCCCCCCCCCCGGGTGCGCCACTGTATTAAGTTTCACAATCTACCAAGTGGCTTGCTGCGTCTAAGTTGCAGGGATACACATTTTGAAATTGAAAATCATTCATAATCTTCACTGCCGTTTTTTTACCAAAATGAATAAATAAAAATGTAAACATTCTCCAAACCTGGGTGAGATATCGCATCCTTGCTGCATCAGGGCGCCGAAGGAGAACCACAGGCTGTTGGTGATTCCGAAATCGTTGGTCGTCTGTTCCTTGGGCGGGATGGCGCCATTAGGTTCGTCTGTGGGTACCCGGGTATACTCGACTGGGTACCACTCCTTGGGGCTGAAGCGACTGACCAGAAACAGTACCACGCTAACGCCTACACATTATGAACACAGCAGATACATTTGAGTTTTTTTCGGTTTCATCAAATATACCTGAGGAAACTATCTAAGGCTATCCAGAGCTTTGTTGCTAGACTCCCACTACGGAGGTCACAGGTTCACATCCCAGCTCCAATGAATTCTTTTGTTCATTTTTTTTTCAATAGTTGTGACGTAGAGTAACTTTCTTTGCATTTCACCCCATTTGTGCCCAGTGGGAACTAAAAAACAGGCGGTTTTATTATTATTTCTGCAGTGACTACCTGATTCAGTCATCTTTGGATATACATGAATATTACCCTAAAATTGCTTGTCTCTGTTCTTCGACACGTGAATTCAAGCATTGAGTTTCTCTGAGGAACAATCTGTCTCACTGCCATATCACAAATGAAGAATAACATAATCTGATAATTTAATTCCAAAAAGTACCAGATATTGCATTCTGAATCCTACATTAAAATTATGAGTGCTTGTTAAGATACCTGCGTAGGCGAGCACGATGCACATCCAGATCTCATAGGACAGGGGATGCATGAAGGAGAAGACGTCAGGCTTGGTGGTCTGTGGTTTCTTGATCATGATGCTGATACCCAGGCTCATGAAGGGCTTGGTGAAGTCTATTACTCTCTCCCGATCCGATATAATGGTCAGGGGTGCCACGGCAATGTCTGCCTCCTTTGGCGGGGATGAAGAAGACGGAAGTACGGTAGAATCGAAAAAGCCAAGAGAAAATAGGTGAACGTAAGGAGTTGTCTTTGTCGTCAAACTACAATCAACATGTTTCTTAGGTAGCAATAAGTAGGCAAAAAATTAATGTGGAAAGCTTTAGGGATTCCAAAAAGACAAAACTGGGTCTACATCGGATTACTAGAGGATAAATACCCAAAGGGATGGAGCTGATGTCAACAACATTATTGCTCCAGTACAGTGGTATCATGTTTCTTGATTCAATTTTACAACGAATTGAAAAACCAAGTTTGTATATAATTCCCGACTTTTTGTACGAATGACGCGCCAAATGGACAAACGTTAAACCACAACCTAGCGATACAATCCACAATTTCCCCCTGGATTTCTCCGAGATCTTCACTTACTCCTCTGACCAGCTCTCCCACCATGCCGTTCCACGTGCCGTTGACGGGGATGCCGTACGTGTTGTCCCTGACCAGCTGGATCTTGTACTTGAAGGGGAACTTCTGGACGATTTCCTCAAGGAGGTCGATGGCGTAGCCCTGGAAGCGATCGTTACCGGAGTAGAGATGGCGGGGCTCCTTTCGCATTAGGTAAGGCTGCTCCTGTTGAAGCAAAGACAGAAGGAAAGATGACTCACCGCAGACAAAGCAAATACATTTGAAATTAAAACAAAAATACTGTTTTGTACTGTCGTCTAAGTCAGACAGATGTGGTGTCTGACTTTCTTTGACTTACGAGAATTGATGTGACAATGATGGTTTTATTGTTGAAGTCTGCCCGGCCGGTTCCATCGCCGAAGGTGCCCGCGTTGAACTTCAGCCGAGTCTTGGCCTCCGAGCGCCAAGTGCCAACCTGACAACAATGATGCAAAAACCCGTGTTATCTTGGAAAAAAAATCAAAAGATATTTGGATTTTTGTGAGATTGTCTCGAGGTTAGCTACACTAAAAAAGAACTGCGTAAAAACCATGGGACAGTCATGCACAAGTTATAAGTCAAGTGACGTTGCGTTATATCCTACTATTGAATGGTGATCGACCCGATCACGAATAAGAAAGTAACAACATGGACTTTTTAGCATGTTGACAAAACGCTGACAGCTTTATTCGAGTTTGACCATCACAATTTATAGTCAAATTTTCGAAAGTTTTCCGGTTACCTCTCGCATTCCGTCGGAGAAGAGACTGAGTATTCGCACTACGTAGTTGGACCGTTCACCGAAACTGTCGAAGGATATAGGCCCTGTGGCACCATTGAAGGACACCTGAAAGTCAAATTTATTGGGCTGATAAGCACACAAATCTTTAAAGCACATAGATATTTGATATAAAATCTTCTATAAAAATTGGATCAGCTAGTTTTTTTTTGTAAGTATACATAAATATACCAAGTTTTTTTATTAGTAGCTCCTGGTAAAAGCATCAGTTCTGCGAATTCTAACCGCTTCTTATCAATGTTTCGATTGGGCCTCACTGTTTATCAATCCATCAACGTCTTCCGTCTTCTCATACCGTTTTGAGAAATTTCAGGACATTCTTGTCGAAGCCCCAGGGTCTGAAGCGGTCGTCATCACAGCTTCGCTGGCCTCGTTTCTCAAACTGTACCAGTTTGTTCTCCCTGATCAGTATCTTCACCGTCCTGGCCATGACGTCAACTAGGTCCATCATCAAGGCTGACCTGTACTGTAAAAAAAGATTGGTAGGGTAATCGGCATCAAAGATGGCGGCTAAGGAGTTTCTGAAGTGATGACACAAGTCACCTTGATGGTTAACCAGTTTCTCTTCGAGCCTTTTAAATATCTCTCATGCCAAGGCGTAAGAGTGTAGTAGAAAGAAAAGAATGTTGTGCGAGTGATGAACGTAGTCTAGGGCGAATGCGCCAATAGCATTTAGATGCAGACGAGAACAGTACCGATCCAAGATACTTGAGATATTAGGGGGCAATTTCACTGAGCTGTCAAGCACGGAACTTGCTAAAAAAATAATTATGTAATGTTGGCTTAGCACAAGTCACCAACTAAACTTTCTAGCGATGTCTAATTGTTTGTCACTGGTTTGCAGCTTATTTATGCTGAGCATGTGAATTTGTTGAGCAATTTTTCAGCTACCATGAAATTGGATCCGTCTCTGCTTTACAAGGAGATAATAGGGGAGGGGGAAGGACCGAGCGATACTCACACTGACGAACTCCATCTTGCTGACCACGGATCTATTCTGCTCTCGGAGTATTTCGAGGCCCGTCTTCAGCAGCTGGAATCTTCTAGACGTCTCGTTGATGATGCTGAATCCAGTGATGTTCATGCCGCCAAGCTGAAACTTCTCCAGATTGACCTTATCAATGTCCTGATACAGGGAAACGAAAAAAAAACCTCGCGGGGCTACTTAGTTAAATCACTCTCTCAAATTAACTCTTGTTGGTTCAGTCTAGGGCTTGCTTTCCTACATTTCTACAGACTTAACAGGGAATATGTTTTATCCAGCCTGCAGCTACACAGTGTTTTTTTTTTCGGTTAAAAAGACATTGAGATACCACATAGTAAAATTCGGTCTTTTTTCTTCAAGAACTACGCAGTACGGCTATGTAAATGCAGACACTTTTACTTACGAGATCAAGGAATATATAGTGATATGATGACGTCAACATGCCAAGAAGTGGTATCTGCAAAAACAGAAGAAAGAATGAGAAACAATTATTTGTGAATACCAAAACATTAAACACGCCCAATGAAACCCAAGTGAACCCCAACCCAACCCAACCCAGCCCAACCTGACCCAACCCAAACAAACCCAACCTGACTCAACCCAAACTAACTCATCCCAACCCAACCCATCACAACCCAAACCAACCCAACCTGATCCAACCCAAACTAACTCATCCCAACCCAACCATCACAACTCAATTTGACCCGACCCATCCCAACCCAACTAAAACCAAACCCATCCTAACCCGACCCAAGCCAAGCCAACCCAACCCGATCAAACCCAACCCAACATAACCCAACCCAACCCAACCCAATCCAACATAACATAACATAACCCAACCCAACCCATCCCTACCTAGCCTAACCTAACCTAGCCCAACCCAACCTAACCCATCCCAACCCAAGCAACCTAAACCCAACCCAACCCAACCCACCCAACTCAACTCAACTCAACCCAACCCAACCCAACCCAACCCAACCCAACCCAACCAACCCAATCAAACCCAGCCCAATCCAACCCACCTCAACCCAATCAATCCCAATTTAACGCAACCCACCTGCTCCATTAGTAGCCTTGTATTCTGCACGTTAGTATCGCAAATGATTCGGTGGCGGTCCGTGTCTCTAAACTCCCTGAGGTTTTGAATCATGGACTCACTGCCGTTAACTTTACGGAAAGCGACGTCAAATTTACGGAAGGACAACATCTCCATTAGCGCATGGAGACGAAGTAGCCCTGTCGAAAAGTGGAAAATTAAAATAAAAGAATAATTAAAGTTTGTTGTAATTCTGTTGTTTTCTTCTGTTCGTCCCCAATGCCCTTTACTAGGCGTGGTAATCTCTTTCATCAATTTTTTTTTAATGGAGACGTAGATTTCGCGAAGCATCGTTGATAAATAAAATGTCACGACCAATACAAGTATATTCCGTGCGCACATGAAATATTGACCTGGGTAACATGTATGATTGGTAACAATATATCTATTGAGAGGTCAACGAAATTAGATGTCAAAGGCGCCCTCAAGTGGGGCTGTAGAAGCAATTACCTTTATCAGTGTCGTAAATAAATGCAAATCGATTCCACTGATGGAACTGTATGATATCGAATAGGACGGGTACCAGCGATGGCATCAGGGATACCAGGTACTTCGTGTTGGCATCGGTGGTCTTGAACCCCAAGTCCCGCTTGGATTGAGACGGGATAATGATGGGCATGTGGAAGGTGCTGCTGTAGGACGCTGTTGTGGTGATCAATGGCGGCTCCACGTCCGCACCAATCAGAAGCACGCCGTTGGTGAACAGATCACATACTGCGCATGCGTGAGAGAAGGAAAAAAAGCCGGAATTTTGGAACTTGTAGTCGTCCAAACAATAAAAGATACTGACCTTGATACGGAACATCGACAGGCAAGGAATCTAACAAGATTAAACATTGAAGTTGTTTGGAAAAACAAAAAATTCTTGAGCATGCAAAAGAACAAATGCGTTGGCTGGGAGTCGAACCCGGGTCAATTGCTTGGAAAGCAACTATTCTAACCACTATACCACCAACGCCTCGTTTTAAAATTTCTGTGTAAATGCATTTTTGGCTTGTAATAAAGTAACCAGAATAACAAATTCCAGTTCATATAACATTATAAATAATTGATACATATTTAGCTTCACAATCTCTCATCTGACTGTGTCTTTGGAATATTTTAGTAACGTAAAATAAGAATTATGACACTGCACTCGCTCATATTCAAACAACATCTACGAACAGTTAAGCACAGCAAATACATACCGCATACATACCGCATATGGCAAATGAATATTTATTTGTCACACTTGCAAGATTCGCTTCAGCGATGGGCGCAATGTATAATAACAAATGACATGCGAAATGACGAATATTCATGGACATATTGTCGGGCAATTGTCATTTGCAAATGTCAGATATAGAATACAGATAGGCATGCTATATCTCATGCGATAAAAACGTGTTGACAGAAATATTACATGCTGGAGAGTATCCCAACTCGAGCAGACTGCTACAACTTGAGCCGAAATAGCTTGCAGTTTATTCATGCCTTTGGTAATTCCGCGCAACGAGCATTACACACAGTTCAAGGTAACGTTACTATTCACCGCTAGTTTTTTAATACACGTTCATGTTAAGAGCGTTTGGATGAATGTAGTGGGCGTGGCAACACCCCTTCTGAATCACTATACAGGGTGAGTAAAAAAAACTAAACCCAAATGTCGGGACCATTGTTTTAGTGAAGTTCTGCATGTAGCAATTTCAAAATCTGGGACATGAAAGCCCAATTCATAAGCTTTTTTTTAGTACAAGAATTATTCAAATCACTCACGTACTTTTCAAGTTACGGATCACAAAAAAAACGTTCATCGTAGGGGATCACCCCGTAATGCCAATGAATGGGCTAAAGCTTGCGGAGTGTGAAATTTGGACTCTTTGGTTGTATTGCGCATGCCTGAAGTAAAGATAATTAGGCAAGTGACAATTTAAAATGTGAGGTTAGAATGCATACAAGGTAAAGGGACCTGATTCCATTGGAGTCCAAATTTCATACGACACCGGCTTACTGTGCAAACCAGATGCATGGAAAGCATTTGTGAAACAGTCGTATAGAGTAATGTGCACATCGGACCAGCTTTACCAGCTCGCCTTGTCGTGCTCGAATAACCGATATTACCTCCGATGGCTACGATATTACTAATAACAATGCATCAAGTCGACACATTATACGCGCGTTGATGAGGGATGATGCGCAGGCTTGACACCCGAACGGCTCGTTGGCTATGAGACTGATGGTCTCCAAACACGTCGTCATGACTCATTCACCATGCAGTCTGCCCGTATTCATTGCCATTGCCGCTGCCGTATAATATTCAAATCAGGCTGGAGACGCCTCCACAAATATTTGACCTTTGGCTTTCATTTTCGAAATACTGTGATGCTTTCCCGTTTGGATATCGAGGAAAATTATCTGTTTCGCTTTATTCACACTGACTAATTTGAATGGGATATTCGATTCTTGGCATTAACTCGTGCACTAAAAATAAAAGTAGTTTTAGAGATACAACGAAATAACACAGTCTGATCAGTGTACATGTATTACAATAAGGCTTTGAGCAGTCACAGTGTCGTACCTTATCTCTTTGAAAAAATGTTTACTTCATTGACCACAAGCTTATCAATTAACAGAGCAATTATTGTCGACATTACATTTTGCCAAATTATCCTTTTAGCATCCTATAAAGTAGAATAATTTGTTGAGCATACAAGTTATATATATACACACTTCAATTTACACATTTTGTAATATAATACACTACCTGTTCGAAATTGCGTTGTATAACTGAGATATATCCGAATTAATCCGTGAAAAGTTGAAAACAACGTCGACCTCAATATGTATAATTTGAAGTATCCAATCCACCAAACCATCATACTTTAACATAAACCTGCAAGACGCAGTCCATTTCTTTTGTTTTCCTTGGGTTCCATTTCACTCTACGCCCCCAAATCAACGCCCACTGCCTCCCCCTTTGGGGGTTACAGCGAGGGACCTCATCATCCACAGCATGCACTCCCTGATCGCCACGCAGATCAAGGATGCAGGTGGGATGCCTCGGCGCGTGCTGGTCGGAACACTGCCGCCTAACAGCCGTGGCAATTCACCCCTACACGGTCATCGAAACAGCCCCTATTACCACTTGGAATAACCATTCAGAATCTGTCATTGGTAGCTTATACATTTAGCCTGTTTCAAATCTTTATTTTATGGACATCGCACAGACCCAAGGCCTAGGTCACTCAAACGTGTGGGCTACAAATTCGACGAAATAGAAAAGAATGGAAGAAGTACCGGTAACTTCTACTATAGAAGGTATTTCTGTTCACATTTCGTTTGAATTGTGAAAGATTAAGATAAAAGGGAAGCAAGATAATCTCCAGCTTGGTGAGCTTTCGTAAAAAAAAAGGTTCACAATTCGCTTTCTTGTGTCCACAGGCAGGATATTTTGTCATAGTTATTGATGACCGCTAGAGCATAATGTGCACATGGGTTGAATGGAGAAATTTAGGTATAGACACAGATCATAACTTGTTTCAGTAACGTACATAATTCCAGAGGATTTATACAAGCTATAGAAATGTCATGCATGACGATTCAGGATTATATTGCGTATGCGCATGAAATAGAATGCAATTCGATTTAAAAGATCCTTTGTAGAATCCTGCTTTCACCTTTAAATGATTTTTCTTTACTTTCTTCCTTGAATGTCTTTTGGCCTTGTTGTTACTACTGAATTCACGATGCCTTGCTGGATACATAATATTAATCAATTAATTAATAAAAAAATTATTTAATGAACAACAACTGGTACGAGACTAAAGAACGCTATATAGTCATACAACTGAAGTTCGTAGATTTATTTTACAAGGTAGCGCTTAGGTATGAGTTTTACTCAGGCTGATCTAATAGCAAAGCGTTGGTGGTATAGTGGTTAGAATAGTTGCCTTCCAAACAATTGACCCGGGTTCGACTCCCGGCCAACGCAATTTTTCGAAAAGAATATTTTTATACCACTTTCAATTTCTTTTTACAGTTACTTCCAACAAAATAATATTGCACCTACTTCACAAATTGTAATAACCAAAGGATTAAACAACCTTTTAGGGAAGGGGTGATCAACTCCATCTCTTGCAATTGTTTTTATTCGTATAGGAAATGAATGTAAAAAACATAGGCATAAGAAGTTTCAAGCGTTGGTGGTATATAGTGGTTAGAATAGTTGCCTTCCAAGCAATTGACCCGGGTTCGACTCCCGGCCAACGCATTGCATTTTTATCTTCTCGAATGAAATAAGACATTGATCTTAATAGATGTGGGATTTTATTTCGTTCATCATCCAATAATAAAAGCAAAAAAAAATTCAAAAAAAAATTTGCAACGACGCGTCAAGTGGAATCGCTTAATTGATTTGCGTAATTGAGTTTTCTCACCTTGCTAAACACCCCTTCTTAAAAATGACTTAAGTCAAAATACGAGCTGAGATAATTAAGGGAGATAGTCTTTAGCAGTGCACGAAGTGTCTTGAAGGAGTTCAATCAAGAATGTTCAGCCCTTACAAATGCCCCAGTGCATTGGGGGTTTCCAGGCAGGCCCTGCATGGCTCGGCAGAAACTCGTCGCGGAATAATTAGACCATCAATATTTGATAGGAGCTTGGGGGGTTGATAAAAAGTGATGATGGTCCTCGCGAACAATCCACGGGGACATCGGGTAAATAATGGCCTTGCATGAGACGAACTTTGGAATTACAAGGAGCGAAAGGAACGCAAAGGGTGCACAGTGAAACTTCAAATACTGCTCATTATAATGTCGTACGTACATTTATTTATTTATTTATTTATTATTTATTAAATAATTTCTCAGGCACGAGACAATTGAAATATAAAAATATAAGACAATTTTAAAATTCAATTACATAAAAATTGCTAGACACGACAACGAATATCAAAAGGATGACTACAAAAGGTTACTATACACGAAACTATCAAACGAACACATTAAAACACATTCGACATTAAATTGAACCATATGCAGGCCTGAGGGATTGCCTAAAAAGCAAAAAATAAGCTTGTCGAGAGGCTCTCCAACTACTACATGGTGTTTTACTATTTCTTTTCCTAAAATAAAGAAAGTGGCGTATCAAGCGGGGGGGGGGGGGGGGGCAACTTACCTCCCGGCGTCATTTTGCCACTTGTTTTTTGAAGGACCGGTACCTCACAAAATTACAATCTCTACTAATACCCTCCCGGATTTTAACATTTTAATAACTACTTCGAGCCATTCTTTTTTTTCAGAAAAATATTACCTATTTTTCCCGACCAAAAGAAGCCACCCTTATCACACGCTGTACAATACACATTTGGAATATCCTAACATCCAAGAAAGTTAACGGATTACTTCATTCGCAATTATTAACACTATTTTAAAGCCTGCACAGCAAAATGCCGTGCCAGTGAGTCAGTGGGTGACATACTGGCACGCAGTGGAATAAGTGTCATACCAAGGTACCGGTACATTCAATTACGAGTGGCAACTTGCATTGGTATTGAAATCAAATGGTAATAATACTTAAGCATTCCATTATTGAAGCAGTGATTCTTATACAGGCAAGTAAAAGGAACAATATAACTCACTTTTCTGGCCCATTTCAAAGCAATTGGCGCTGCTGACGGACTTCTCGAAGCCCATGAACTGGAAGGATTTGTTGTGTACATTTTGGTTGATGGTGGCTCGCCTGAAACCGAAGACCGAGGCGTTTGGGTTCGCAGAAAAGATGGAGCCTGCAGAAGAGAAGGATATTTTAGAGTTTAATTTATCCCAATTTCAAAAGACTTTTTTTCCTCTTCAGAAACGCTCTTGGTCCATTTGTTCTCTCATTTCCTCATGTTGAACTTGACTTTATTTCATCTCTTAATTTACATGATTACAAGGTAATGAGCAGATAATAATATAATTTATAGAGATGCGGAATCCATAAAAAAGCTAAGCTTGTGGGTATGGACCCCGAGATTAACATGATTATAAACACAAACAACTGGATTATAAACACAACAACATGTAAGTAACAAAACAATGGGCATGGAAGGCAAACAAAAAAATAAATTTCAATAATATGTAGGTAAAAATGATGACAACACAAAATCAAAAACAAAGTCAAGAAAAACACATCTGATCAGTAGCTAAAAGTACCTAGTGACGAAGACTCAACGTTGAACTAAACAAGAGAAAATTGATTACATTATAAGGTGAATGAGGAGTACGTACATGTCGTTAATTATATTAGCATGAAATAAGCAAAAAATTATTGGAGCTCATAAATTAAAGTATAACAAAATAAATAGCCAACAAGACTTATGCGTATTTGTTTAAGAGGAATTGCTCGAATTTTTTTTTAATATGATATCAGATTTGGTATTTTGCAAGGGCCGCTGGAGATGTTACAGTGCACAATGTAATTTAATTGCATTCTTGTTTTTGACTTATCTTGATGTCATTAACCACATTCCCACGACAAATATGGTAAACTCGTTTATACATGTACAGTTAATCGTGTACAGTTAATCGTGTAATATCCACCATATTGAGATTTCAGAAATACCAGTTGTACTGTGAGCAAACGATGGTCTATTGATTGTGATTGCTCTTGGTATTTTTATTACAAGCTTGATATCGTTAAAATTTACTGGACAACAAATACGAAAATTGTATCCCAACATTTACAAACCAGATTTATGTACACCAAAATTGATCAGTTTTTTTTTTAGCAGCTCATCAAAATAAGATTCTATATCAATCCTTTTTACATATGACATCACAGGTCAGGCATCAACTCTGTCCCTTTAAGGAACGCGAGAAGTCACCGCCAATGCGACTGTGTGGCTCTTCGCCCCGGATCGACGCCTCCACTCATCCATTATTTAAGACGAAGCCTAATGGAGGTCCTACCCCGTGTAAGAAGAGCGCATTCTCCTCACGGATTCAGACCTATACGGGCCTCCAGATAATACTCCGCTAACATAATATCAACACATGATACCATAGCTATAACACACATAATAGGCACTCTTCTAGCCCTTATAAAGGATTCGCATTCACGTTTGGAGAAGTAAAGTTCCTCCTTCATGCATTCACGCGTGTGTAACACGCTGAAGTGAAGGAATTGGCATATAAGGCCGTCTTAAATTATGCATGGCTTCTAATTAATGGAAACAATTAAAGAATAATAAGGCAGCCATTCATTTTTCATTGGCAGTGACGTGAGATGCGAAATTGATGGCGGCTTTGAAGCGGACTGTCTTGTGATTTATGGATGTGAACTTACACAATTTCCTCTCTTGGAGGTGGTTTCCGGAGGGTATGAGTGGGTCCGTGAAATGACAAGTCTTGAAGGATATGCTGGTCCGACACCTTTCATACACTCCTCGAACGTGGCAGAACTGAGCGCCCTTATCCCGGTCGTTGGCATTTTAAGCCTGAATTAATTAGGCATTTGCTGAAGAGTTGGTCTATGACAAAGGGAGTATTTAAACTGCGTATTGCGTTGGCGGTGCAGCCGTTTAATGGTTGCCTTCCAAGCAATTGACCCAGATTCGACTCCCAGCCAACACATTGTTCCTATTTTTTCCTGAAGCATTATTTTCGAGTTTTTTTAAGTTCAAAGGATAATATTCAACGCTGCTTGAATTGTGTCTTTTTGCAAATTATCCTTAATGTTGAGAATCTTGATGAAGGGTAGACACTCTCGCACGAACAACCCTAGTTTTCATTTTTTTTGTTCATGTTATCTGAAATTTCTGTTCTGAGTTGTAGCCAGTATTATGTTTTAAACACTGCATATTTCAAATGTCACAGCTCCGGCTTCTCCCACAATTCAGAATGTTGACCTATTTGTGGTTGCATTAAAATGTTAGGCATTGAATATCCAGCAGATATGCAAATTGTGTCGGTGTATTTTAGCGAATCTCATGGTCAATGTTGATTAATGTATCTTGGTCGCTAGAGATTGAGGCAGAGTCGACATGCAACAAATATTGCACGGTGACACCGCCACTATAATGTAAGCGCGTCTTACAACATGTATATCACATATGATTCCCTGGACTAGATAGGTCCCGTGTTTCGTATTGCCTTTATATTTATCTCATTAAAATGACCTTGACTTAACCGAGACATTCATTAATTGTCCACTTGAAAATAAGAACATGTTAAACCAAGGACGGGGGTCCTTGCTCAGGTGGGGAAGCCGTACAATTCAAAAAAATGAAAAAAAGGAATCCGTGAATCTTTTTGAGCGACGAACTCAGCAAGTTTACATACTAAATGTGAACTAAATTGGTCATGTAATGACTTCAGTATGAATAATATAAAACAGAATTTACTATGTGGCCCTCTTCCCTGTATTATATATATATATAAAAAAAAAAAACCAGGGTTAGACAAAGATTCACAGAGGATGAGAGTAAATGCATAGGAATCTAAATGTTTCTTTTATGGTTGCCTCGATGCTTGCAACACATTACGCACCATTATAATGTAACGTGTAAGTTGTGCATTTATAATTATACACACTTTTGTATGGAAGTTGGCAGATGATGCATAAGGTTTCCATCATTGCGTCAAAAATTCAATACAGCAAAACAAGACGAAAATTCATTTATTTACATATTTTTTTTCCAATAAAATACCCCCAAAAATGGCAACGATAAGACCAGAAGTGTATTAATCATAGAGACATCGACGTATTAACAGCAGTGACTTGTTCAATGTCAGTTACTGTTAAAACAAAAGTCGAAAGTCAGAAATAGTCACAATTGAAGAGTAAAGATGATACGTTACCTATTGGGATTTGTGGCACAGCATCGCAGCACGTGAACAAACAAATCGCCTGCCAGTATCCGAACAGACAAACCACACCGACGAATGAAGACAGTCGTCCCGCGCCAAGACCGCCACTCGGCCCCATCCCAGTCACTAAAACTGTCCTGTTTCCACAAGCGGCAAAAAGGCTTTCAATTTGAGACTAGGGGCTTACAACCCCTGATCTTTTCGTTAAAAGTCACGGGTTTTTAAGACCACTGTGTGCCTCGCGCTGAACTGGCCCCGAGCTTCTCCCGTCCGTATTCCGTTCACATCGCGCTCGTTTTAGACTCGCCCCGTGAATTGCAAAATAAGGCGCAAGAAAGATGGCCGTGGAGACGCCAGAGAACGCTCGGCGCGCTGATAAGAGAGCTCACGGTCCGCCAGCCCGATTCGTTATTATCCGGCAGCGTCCCCCGAGACTTGGTGTTATAACTCCGTCAAGAAGCTCGCCAAGTTGGTCGAGGAAAAGAAGCTGGTGAGAGTCGATGCCAGTATCAAAAAAAAAAATCGATACCCGTGTTTGTCGAGAAAACTAATAACTTCAAAACTAAAGTTTAACAATTGTCAAGATGGAACAAAATGTCTGCATTGACTTTAATTGCTTTTCCAAAATATAATAACATAACTCTTTACTTTAATGTGCAAAACAATTATTCAAAATACTACTTTTTACCTAAAATTGCAAGAAATGTATTAAAAATCGCTCTATTCATTGATTTTGATGTTTTGCTTGAAGTAGGCATTGCTAAAGGTTACATAAATCCTTTATTTGAAACACACTTTGCCATCCTTAACTACAAAAACACCTTGAACTTGTACTAGTAAAATCGATTAAATAATATGTCGATTTCGAGGCGTTTTCGATTTTAAAAAAATAATCGATTAGCTAGCTGTCATTGATAAAGTGAGTTCACACACTACCACCCAGCACTCGTTTCCACCTGAAGGACTCGTATGTCTCACACCTGTGATGGCGCAACGCCATGGTGAAATCATGCAAACTTTTCTCTCTTCGTCTATTTTTTTTCTCCGTGGTCTTTCCCGCTCCTCGCACCGTGGCGGGAGCGGGGAGCGACCGGCCGTTCGGCTTGATCGCCCCCGGCTACTAGGTGATGCATTCGCTGTTAGCAAGATCTTGATCGATCTAGGTTTTTCCTTGAAAGGATAAGGAACAAATTTCATGAAACTGTTTTCCCCGGAGAAAAAGGATGTAGCTGTGCAAGCTTTGTGGAATATCCACTTGTTACAACAATATCATGCAAAAACGTTTTAGGTTATTTCTCTGGAACCAAACAAAACAATGTACGACCCGTTATCTGTTTCTATACAGTATGTTTCTATACAGTGTGCTATACAGTGTGCTCTAAAAGAAATCATGAACAATTTGAACAGATGACAAATTGAAATTTTAATTGCTAATTTAAACCGAAAAAATGAGTTACTAACTTATTATAAAATATAACGTGATTGTGCCCACGAACTATTTATTGTAACTACCGAAAACAACGGTGGGTGGCACTACGTGGTCAACCAAACAGTGACCACAGAGATATAATAGAACTTTAACACGATAGTTGCTCTCAAAACTGTTAGCAAAATGCTGCGCGTGTGATACGTGAAAATAAGTGTACGCATCGCGTAACATATCGTTAAATTACAGGTCACGTGACGCAGCCCATTTGATAACACAATCCACAACCTTAAAGCAGTAAATGTCGTGTCTAACTAAGTTTTATTAATATTATGATTGTGATATTATAATATTATGATTGTGACGCACTATTAATATTACGCATGCACATAGGCCTCGCCAATTCAGCGAATGTTGGTGACGCCCTCTAGTGATGAAACATGTCCATTGCCTTGAAGAGAATTTCTTTCCCAGACATTTGCAGTTTGATATGCACAATTTTCAGGTTTCGTCGACAACGAACAACATAGATTGTCGTGAATGTTCGCAGAGAACGAAACCCGCAGACTGAGCACTCTTAAAGATGTGAGCTGGCCTCTTCCATCTGTTCCAACGACCCTCCTCCTTGTGGGCCTGCCACTTTATATATAATAGGTTGTTTTATGGAAACGCAGAACAACAGCTTCGCGATTTCCAAGAAACTGACATTAAGGGGAAAAAACAAAACTTTGCACTTAGAAAGATCTTGCTCTGTGAGCCAAAGTTCTCCACCTATCCTATTTAGTGCTTCTAATTTGCAACAGATCAACAGAAGACCATTGACCTCCCCATCCCCCCTACCCGGTCGTACCCCTCTCCCCAACATCTTTTACCTACTTCTCGTCTAATACTGCCTATCTGTAATGCAGACTCACGGATGTCCCGCCCCCCCCCCCCCCCAAAAAAAGCCACAAACATCAACGAAATTTATTTCCAAGTCCATTCCCCAACTTTACAGCTCTATTAGTTCGAAAGTGCTACCCCTCTGGGAACCCAAAAGCTACCAAAAGTACCACCCACTCAACACAGGAGCCACACAGACCCTGTGTAACAGCGTTTCCTTGTACAAAAAGCCTCAAAACAGCGTTCTCCCTCAACCGGGCGGTATTTTTCGTGACACGTGCATTTCTTACCGCTGTTCCCCCGCCGGAGCATTCCGGCGGTGAACCGCAGTTTCACCCTAATCTGTACCCGGTGCACCGGCGCCACCGCCGTAACTTTAGTACACAGTTCCGGCCGGTTGCACTGCCTACAAACCCGTCCATTTATCGGGTTGCACGGCGTGCACGCGCTACGTGCACATAAGCGGACAACAGCACACAGCGTTATCAAGGTACATCGCATCGCGCATTGTGCTATCTTCAACGTACGATAGCAGTGTCTACAAAAATGCTCATTTGGGCGTTTCCAAGCGCTTTTGAATCGATACACAAAGTAGACTTGTATTCTCGTTTTTAGAATTGACGGAGATAACATTCAATTCGCCGCCCGTAACGTTGCGTGTTCATTGTACAGGATTCGATACAAGCTATGTTGGGCGGTTTAGGCATCGCGGGCGGGGAATCGAAATGTTACCCGCAATCGATAGTCACCGGATCTGACTTGAATGACGACCGCGCTGTCATGGATGCCGGGTATCAGAACTGCTGCGTTATTTTACGAATCATTGAAATTTTATCATGTAAAACTTTTGAAAAATGATGTCAAAATGATGTTTTGAATGTTACTAAGACAAAGCACAAGAATGTTCAGATAATTTGTCAATTTATTGATGCTGTTTTAATGTAAAAAAAACTGAATACATGTCGACTTTCTAATTGAGTTTAAGGTAGTCATCAATACAACATGGAAAATGTTAGTGTTTAATTCCTCTTAATGTCCGTCCTTTTTTTAAATTTATAAGTCCTCTTCCCATGCGAACAGGTGCTAAATAAATAGACAGATTAAACTAACAAGCTAAAACATTCTCGTACATGAACCTACTTCTCGAAAATTCCAAAATAAACAGCAAAATTTGGAGTCTATTTCCGCGTAATTCCAGGAAACCTAATTAATGAAGGAAGTTACATCGCGAAACCTTACCTGAAATGTCGAAATACACAGGAAATCCTACAAACCTCCGATCCACACCGTTCCCCAGAGAAGTCTCGAACTGATGAGCTTCTCCAGTATCTGCAGGGACCCACTGCTGTTTATATCTATCTACTAAGACAAAAGACACGGGGGCAGAAGAATTGGCGTAGCGCGCACCGACCCATCTCTGCGCCGTGTCTGTGCCAAGGTCGACAAGCTATTGTCCCGGTCCGGCTTACGGACCGCGCATCCTCGTAAAAAAACAAAACCTTTAATATCAACACCATAGCAATGTAAAAAGAAGAAAAAAAGATTACCTTCGCTTGGTTGTGTTTTAATTATGTCGTAATGATGATGAGGCCACAATAGGGCGGTGGGATGTTAATATTGGTGTTTTGTTGTCAGACACGTGTCTCGAAGCCGAGATAAAAAAATAATAATAAGGACACGCCGGTGAAATTTAATTGACTGCGAATCTATTAATAAACGAGCTGCTTTATGTCGCTTTAGCATTCTCTCTCTCTGTACATAGGCTGGAAGACTAATAAATATTAGGTATTTCATTACCTCGGCGCTTGTATTGTGGTTTGCATTGTATAAGCAGGTGGTGGATGACAATTACAGAATAAACAAATGGTGAATCCGATATATTTACGCTACTCGATTCCTTTGGAATTATGTATTACATCTCCGGCCAAGTTTTCCATTCCAATCAATATGCAGTTATGCACAATAAAAATGTTATATAACCTATTCCATGTAGTACCATAATCATGTTAAGATTTTGTTCTAAGACCTTGACGGTAATATGGAATCTTGTACATCACAAATGCGCATCTGATGTCCAATTGAAAGAAAAAAGAAAATCCGCTGAATTTGTAAGGAATGCCACGTGACATAAGGAGCATCTGTGGTGATGAAATTTACTGCGCCATAAATTCTAACTCAGAGAGTTGGGAATAAGAAGGAACTCAGGAGGAGTCTGATTTCCTAAAGATTACCTTCACTAACCTCCTATAGGCCTAGGGTGTATGAACAAATTCGTATCAAAATTGAAGGATTCAGGACTACAAGAGTTCATATCATAATAATGTTGCATGATGGAATAGATACAAAAAACGAAATTTGCAGATAAAAATCTCTTCTGAAGTCGCGTTGGTTAAAAAGAACAGATAGTGAGAATTATTTGTAAAAAAAGTACGATTTCCACCATCCTCAGAATATATTTAAAGGCATATAAGATTGCGTTTCATGCATTTCAATTCGTTTTCAATAATAATACCGCTCAAATTAAATCCAAAGAAGAATGGTCAAAACCTAATCTTTTGAAGATTCAGCTCAGTGGATATTGTGCCTTTCGGGAAAACGGTGAAAAAGCTTACACAACCTTTGCAAAAACGACAAGAAAAACCACGATTTCGTTTTAAATATAACTCTTCAGTTTCAATGGAATTCACCTATTTTTTGTTTGTTTTGATTTCCCTCTATAAAGTGACAGCAAACCAGACGGAATAATTTTCACGGGGTGTACCAGTACGATCTTTAATCCAAATAAGCTTTTTGTTATTAATTCGCTAGATTAATTATTTTGAGATAATTGCAAATGATCCTATTATGCCTTCAAATACGTTGCCTTGGCCAACAATGGTCTCTCAGATACTGGGTTTTGGCGGGAAGGATTCCATTCCCTGTACAAGAGGTTCTGACCATCCCAAATATGCAAAGTGCGCCCTCTAGTTGCACATTTGTCCCAGAGTGAAACGATGTAAGAACAAGTACTGCTGCTCGTTTAGAGCGCCCTCTTAAAAAAAATGTTATTACAATAATTTTAACAAGAAAACGTAAATGCCCGATA